ATCCCTATATCTTTGTGTTATATAATATAGTTCACAAGTAAAGTTTACTATGAGACAAATAATTATATAGGGATGGTGTCATGTAGCTTGGTGCATCTTTGCTGTGTAATGACCCTTGTTTCTTCCTTTTTGGTGCTTCAAGCCATCCCTATATCACCCCTTCATTTTGAAGAAATGATTTTTCCACTTGTATAATTATGCGTTCGTCGTACGTCGTGTAAGTGCGCATGCGCGGCTTTGTACGCCTCGCGATAATATCGATCGATCTAGCCAGCTAGAGAACTCTCCTCCATTCGACGGCGTGCGCTTCAACCTTCGGTGACTGACCGAGGCTGTACCTCTTCCCAATCTTCATGGTTCCAAGCTGCATGCTAGCTGCCTGGTGGACCACGACTGACGAGCTGAAAGCGTAAGGTAAGTACCGTTTTCTGCTCACCTGCTCACCGTTCTGCCAATGTACAATACGCATGTAACGGCGACAGGTAGATTTGTCTTGCTTCACGAAAGGAACGCTTGCGCTGACAGCACGTTATGCAGCCCGAACATCGCGGCCAAATCCAAAGTTGGGTCGCTCCCGCTCGCCAACACATTTCCACTAGTTCAAACTCTCGGCGAACTGCGCATGCGCGGTACCATAATGGGCTATTGGCGGTCTCCCGCGCGCTACGGAGCCATTATGCTATAAAACCAAGTTGCTGCCTCGAAACATCCGGTCGTGACATCCGCTAAAGCTACGGTGTCCGATGGTCCCGACCATCGGACGATAATACAAATATCGGACACGGCGCTTGTGCTCGAGAAGGCAGCAAGCTAATCGAGACGAATCATGGTCAGCAACTAGGCCTGACTTCAGGGCAGGCGTAATTTTTGCCTGCCCTGAAGTCACGGAAAAGCTAACGAAGCTCGTATTTACATGTTTTGTAGAAGGAAGGTAGGCCTAGTTGCTGACCATGATTTGGCTTGCTGCCTTCTCGAACGCAAGCGCCGTGTCCGATATTTGGTATTATCGTCAGATGGTCGGGACCATCGGACACCGTACGTAGTTTTAGAGGGTGTCACGGCCGGATGCTTCGAGGCAGCAACTTGGTTTTATAGCAAGTATTAGCTTAGGTATAATTATGGCTACAAACAGATGTAGCACAAAAACTAATACAACACTTTCCATTACGTCTCCACGGCCGTCCGATAATGTGAGGGTGCCGATAATTAATTCCGTAACCCTCGCTGCGCATGCGCGGCGAGGGTTAATTACACAGGTGACTGAGCAAGCAAAGGCAGCAGCTTAGGACATATGCAGACAGAACTAGAGCTAATCTGCATGTTTTTGCTTCTTTTTGTTACAGAGACGTTTTGGAGATATTTATCAAATGTAACTGGACAAGCTGACCAGGTGTCCTTAAATAAAGCCCTCAAGAACTTGAAAATTTCTTGGAAAGAGACAACCAAACTCAGTAAATTGTGTTCAACAGATGGCTGGGAGGGAGAGGCTGTTGGTGGACTCAGGGTTTTTGTCTTCCCACAACGATTATTCTGTCGAAGAGAATGCTGCCATAAACACAAGTCAGAACGCTATGTCACTCATCCTGGTGGTAAGCATGGAAATATCGAAGACAAAACACGTGTTCTTCAACAGTTTAATGCCTGGTTTATGCCTACGGAAAGTTCTTCATAATCAAATGTGTTTTGTTGGGTTAGACATGATATATAATTCACACTTCAATTGCCATAATTGGTGTCAGCACCAGAGTGCTGGTAAACACACTCTTTGCTAATCCACCCCCAAACTTTAGTAAAGATGTTAACCAAATTGTGCGTTTTGCAAGATACAATGGAAGACGAGTCAAGATGCAATGTAAATTCTCTGCAACTATCCATATCTAGCTCCACCAATTCGCTTTCGCCACTAATTGGCGAGCGGAAGCGAGCTAACCTAGTGGTCCGAACGGCGCGATTATATAAGTGGCTCAAAATACCAACATTTACCTATACGTTGTTGTCGAGCGTCGCCGAATGTCACCGTACGTCGTCGCCCACCCCTCAGTAGGCTCCACCCCTGATAATTTGTGAGCGTGTGAGGAAAGGGAAAGAGTTATGGATCGGTCTAGAGAAGATGCTCTTCGTCTTCGACGAGAGAGGGAAAGAGAACGTCGTGTCAGTGAGACTCCTGAGCAGAGAGAAGCTCGGCTTTCTCAACGCCGATTGCGTGATCGGGAACGGGCAAGGCAACACCGGGCAACAGAAACAGCGGAAGAAAGGGAAGCCCGACTAGCGAGAGGTCGCGTACGATCAAGTGCCGGATTATGCCTGATTCGCGCTGTCGTCTGACTGTTTTTGACTCGACTCGAATTGTCTACTGAGCTCGGGTCTAAAAGGTTGTTTCGGCCTACTTGGTCCTGTGCAATGTATCTCACTGTTTTGTGCACACACCAGAGTGACTCATACGATTAGTTGTAAACTCACTTCCGCTCGCCAAAAATGCCATGCATTCGCCTACTAGTATCGCTGTTCCTTTGCAAATCAACCCCAGACGACTTCTACATTATAGAAACTATCCCCGAGGCACATTCCGTGTATCATGCGCAGAAACGTGGCTCACAACACAGAAAAAGTCAAGAAGACGCTAATCAGCTCTGCATAGAAAGTGTAGCTAGCTCGAGACGCAGTACCCCTAACTAAAGGCAAGCTAACAGAGTGAAAGAGAAACGCTTGTTGGCTCTGCCGACTACTAGCTGTCACGCAAAAGTAGGCGGGGTCGCTGCGCGCTTTTCGCACAGTTAGTGTGCGCGTGCGCTGGACCTGTAGCCAGAGCAAGCTAGGTCTCCGTAGTCATGCGCCGCTATATACCTGCTAGAAGACCGAGTACCTGGTTTTTCGTGAGAAAGAATCGCTCCACGCACGGAATTAAAGGCGTGGTTGCCATGGCAGTTAGGCGTCGAAAACCACGCGATTTAGAAAGCCTCGGGCCCTCTAGTAGCGTCGCTAGCGCTCGGACAGCTACAGCCCGAGGGCCCGCGGCTTTCAAAATCGCGTAGTTTCCTCGAATCAGCGCCTAACTTATGTGTATTTAGCTCCACCAATCCCTCTATTTACTGTCCCTTATCCCAATCCACCCCAACCTCTAAAAAGGTGTCAACGATTTTGCACTTTTTGTAGGCACATTAGTGCAAGAAGAGACAAGCGAACAATCTATTCTATTTTGGCTATTATTAGGCTATGGGATAGTAATGCACTCTATCTTCCTGCATCTATTTCTCTTTAGTGCCACCAATCCAATTTTGTGCCCCCAATTCGCTGTCCCTTATCCAATCAACCCCCCAACCTCTAACGAGGGTGAAATGATTTGCATTTTTTGTAGGGAATAAGACACAAGCAAACCATCCTTAATACTTCAACTATCATTGGAGTACGGAATAATATAACATAATCTGTCTTTCTGCAACTATCCATATCTAGCTCCACCAATCCCTCTTTCAATTTTACTTCACTGTCCCTCTACCAATCAACCCCAACCTCTATAAGCGTGTCAATGATTTTGCATATTTTGTGGGAACATCAGTGCAAGAAGAGACAAGTCAACAATCCATTCTATTTTGTCTATTGTTAGGCTATGGAATAGTAGCCAAGGCACGCTATCATCCTGCATCTATATTATATATATCTCTATTTTCAGTACTTAAAAAAGCAACAAGGTCCGGATTGAGTGAGACATGTCATAAATGTCTCAGCGGGCTGAAAGGCAGGCACAGAGGCTGTGCGTAGGTCTGTAAAACAGCAGAAAGAAAGATCGCCACAGCGCGTGTGCGCGGGATGAAAGGGGTGTGTCGATTTGGGCAATGCGTGCAGGAGAGTTGCTGAAAAACGCCAGGCGCAGAAGCCGAATTCGTGACTGAAAGAGTTAATATATCTTTCCCTTTGCGAATCCTTGTAAGTGTAGCTTATTTTGTTTGCCAATTACCACAGAATGACCCTTGCCCCTTGAGAAATATAATATAAAACTTGGTATAAACAGAGAGTAGCAGCCATAAAAAAAAACCTACCAGTGAACTGTGACGAAGTGCCATGTAAAATAGTGTGCTAATGTGGCACTGAGTTAGCCCCTCAAAATCATGCTACGTCCACGTAAGGGCCTTGTCTACTCAGGAAACGCCCATTTAATATCTATGCCCTCTCGTTGCCCATGGGCACGACATCTTCAACACCTTTGTCAACTATGAACATGAGATGCCATTCGTGTGAAACCTTTCTTAAAACAGCAGGTATCTACTAGAAACGCACTAGTTACCTTGGAATCTTGTTTGCACCATAATACATTCCTTTGGTATTCGATACATAACATAAGTCACTGAGGAAGACCACAGTACGGTAGTCAAACTGTCTCGCATGATTTCCAAAGTCAATTCTGACTATGGAGTGATTGTGTAGATGGTCTTCTGTTGCTATAATAGCTGTTATATACGAGGAAGAGAGTTGAAAGCAGCAATTGAAGTGATTTTTTGGACTTGTAAAATAGAATAGTAGCTATGGGTAGAAAGAAGTCTACGATACTAATTTGTTTCATTATGATGTTGTTAGTAGCGTATAGCCTAGTTCACATACCGAGGAAAAGGTTGGTGCAGCGAAGCAAAGATGCAACATACAATTGTCCTCCACCATTGACAGTACTTGCTGGATCATCCACAACTTCAACTACGAGAGATGCCGCATCACTGATAATCTCACCAAATGAGATATCGTTTCCAGTCTTTGATACTAATACCCCGTCATCAGCAGCACTCTCCACGTCACTGACAGAAACTGCCAGCTCTAGTCCACAGGTAACTTCACCACAGCAGAAGCGATATCGTACTTCATTTCCCGAGCACAACGTGCAGAAGCATCCCGAGCGCAACGCACAGCAGAAGCATCCCGAGCACAATGCGCAGCAGAATCATCCTGACCACAACACATCGCAGAAACGTCCTGGGCACAACACATTGCAGAAGCGTCCTGGGCACAACACATTGCAGAAACAATATCATATTTCATTTCCTGAGCAAAACGCTCTGCCTCATCACGAGTATCTCAAGAGTTCAGATGAGCTAAAGAACACAACTTGGGTAGCAGATCTTCACCACTACCTTATGACACTGAACAGAAATGTCAGTCCTCATGTGAACCTGGTGTTTGCTGACTACAAGCACAGAATGTTAGTCGTGAATTGGGTTGTGGCTGCTACACTCAAAGTAAAACCTCCATTACACAATGTGCTTGTACTCTCTCTTGACCAACTCCTCTGTGACTATCTAGCCAACGCTGCGTACATGACTTATCCACTCAATATGACCTGCATTGCAGCACCATTAACTACCATACTATCTTCTAAAGGTAGAAAATCATGGACAACATCAATGATGATCCGATCAATAATCCTTAGACTTATCAACTACTGGGGCTTTGATGTTGCAACTTATGATTCTGATGCTGTTGTTCTTAAAAATCCTCAAACACTGTTTGACAACTACACTCATGATATTCTGTCTTCTGCCAGTATGTGGCCAGACTCTCAAGCTATACCATGGGGTTTCACTCTCTGTGCTGGTGCTATTTTATACAGAGCCACTTCTGCTACAGGTTTGTGAGGTGTAAAGAATGCTGTGTGTGCAGAGTCTGGGTGGTCTAGTAAAGAGTAGTGTAGTAGCAAGCAAATTACCAGCATAGCCTATTGTGTAACTAGCTTGCATGCAGCTTAGGACCTATGCAGACAGAGCTAGAGCTAATCTGCATGTTTTTGCTTTTGTTACAGAGACGTTTTGGAGATATTTATCAGATCTAAGTGGACAAGCTGACCAGATGTCCTTAAATAAAGCCCTCAAGAACTTGAACATTTCTTGGAAGGAGACAACCAAAGTCAGTCAAGTATGTTCAACAGATGGCTGGGAGGGAGAGGCTGATGGTGGACTCAGGGTTTTTGTCTTCCCACAACGATTATTCTGTCGAAGGAAATGCTGCCATAGAAACAGGCCAGAACACTATGTCACTCATCCTGGTGGTAATCATGGAAATATCGAAGACAAAACACGTGTTCTTCACCAGTTTAATGCCTGGTTTGTGCCTACGGAAAGTTCTTCATAATCAAACGTGTTTTGTTGGGTTAGACATGATATATAATTCACACTTCAATTGCCATAATTGTTGGGTGATATAATTATATAGCTTCCTCCTGTAGAACATAATATTTTGTAGTAGCTACATGATTATAATTGTGCATTGGGATACCCCACTTCAATTGCCATAATTGGTGTCAGTATCAGAGTGCTTGTATACACACTCTTTGCCAAACTTTAGTAAGGATGTTAAAGAAATTGTTCATTTTTGATGGTATATATTATACAATGGAAGAAGAGTCAAGATGCAATGTCAACGTACTATGTTTCTGCAACTATCCATATCTAGCTCCACCAATTCACTTTCACCACTATAATATCGCTGTACCTTTGCAAATCAACCCCCCGAACCTGTAATAATAAGGGTACAATTCGATTTTGCATTTGCGTAAGCATGCACTGGTAGAAGTCACAAGCCAACCATCCTTAATAATTTAGCTATTGTTGGAGTACGGAATAATAACACAATCAGTCTTTCTGCAACTATCCATATCTAGCTCCACCAATCCCGCTTCTGCCTCTAATTCGCTGTCCCTTTTGCCAGCTTTACTGGTGACGGGTATAAAGATAATAAAACTCACACCAATCGGTCATGGATTCGGCTTTCCCGCAAACAAAAAGCTACCAGAATTGTAAACAGCTAACGTCACCATCTACTGCTAACTCAGCACCTGCTTGCGTTGTTGAAGCCAGAAGGCATAATTTAGTCCATCACATTGCTCACGCATAACCTGGTCTGCGAAAAATTAATAATAGTGCGTGAAAGATGCAGCTCAGCTGAGGAATTTTCCAGCCACGGCAGCATGGTACGTAGCAACCCCTACACCGGGCCCCTTTCTGTAGCTACATACATCATCCCCAAGAATGCAGCTGTCACTATATACTGTAGCTACATTCCTAAACAATCCTTGTAAGATCAGCTTATTTTGTTTGCCATTACAACAGAATGACACTTGCCCCTGCCTTAGCTACTCTGCTGTTAGCTGTTAAGTTAATAAGTATGTGTGAAATAAAATTCAGTGCTAAAAAGTGTGCATGTCTATGAGTCTATTAATTAACAATAAACATGTTTTTCATGTTATATACATAATGGAAAGATCTGATGGGCTGAAGGTCACATGACAGCACTAACTCTTCTATTGTTCTGATTTATGTATACTCCACTGGTGGTAGAGTCACTGGACCCAATGGATACAGCTCTGATTTTACCAACAGCATGCAGGCACAGGAATGATAGCTACACCACTGCCACAACTGAAGTCATCCAAAATTGTGCCACTGGTTCTGCTCATAAAGTATGATGGATGCAAACAAGCCAACAAAGTCTTGCATATTGTCACTTAGAAGCACTAAAGTCTTGCTTCCAGGCAAACTCCACACAGCAGCCTGTACTGAAGCAGGAGGTGGAGCAGGTGTAGATGAGGACTGTCCCCCAGTCCACACTGGCCTCGGACACAGTGTCCAGCTTCAGGTAGTACAACAGTTGAGGCATCACCTGCAAGCAACATAGAGTTATGCCAGATACCTAGTTTCTCATCACTGCACACATGTGCGGCAGGACAAACTGCAAATGTGGCAAGTGCAGGATTGGCGCATCTACAAGGCTGTGTACACAGACAGGACACGCCACACAGTCGATGGAAGGTTTTGTCTTTACACTACACTAAGGTTTAGGTTAGTAGCACCCGGGGACACACCCATTACTTAACCTCCACACCTCACAGGTGGAGTTCTACTCTATATAGCTAGTGGGCGATGACCACTCAAAGGACTTGCCCAGGACAAACCACACCACATAGCATGATAATTATATACCTTTACAAAGAACATTGCTTGTGAATGTGTGTGTCTAATACCGTGTTCGCACTACAATCCACATTGAGCTCTGGATATCTGCATCTCCCCACACTCTCAACAATACTCTCGTCTCCTCGGTTGTCCATTCCGCAGCCATTGTCACTGTCGTTTGCTGACGAACGCCGAACACGCGCGCTGCCCGAATTACGCGCGCTTTTGCGCGCCGTTTTGCGCAGAGACACGCGGTGCGCGGCGAGCCGTATGCACGTGAATGTCACGTGTTACCATAGCTCAATTCAGGTCAATCGACCTCCGTAAGTAGATAGAGCCGATTCGCGTGAATTCGCATTGAAGACCTAGTGCGGACGGGATTGATGCGCGTCAACACGGGTTCATAAGGTAAGTGCGGACACGCCTTAAGTTGCAGTCTTATAAAGGACATGCACACGAATGAGCCGCTGGCTGGCATGAATAACACCACACCTGGAATTCAAACTGCCTTTTAGCTCCACATAGACATGGAGGAATATCTGCAGCCTGAGGAGCACCGTCTCTTGAGACCAGTAGGGGAACACCACCCCTTCGGTATCGAATCACCTGTCAGTAGAGATCAACACTTGGTTAGAGAGACACAATGGCAGCCCTGCATATTGTATAATGCAAAAAAGAGTGCAGGCACCGGCTAGACTCACCTGCTCAGGTTCAAAAGACACTCTTCTCCTGAAAGCTCTGAAGACCTTGTCAGACATAGTCCCACTCTCAGCCTTTTCCATCACACTCTCCACTCGTTTCTTCCCACTCCTGCTGGCATCATGATCGTGATACTTGCCTGACTTGACAAACTTGTGATAGTCCCTCATCCTGTCCTCCTCCCCCCTATCCACTCCCTCCTCCTCCTCCATTGCTGCGGCTGGCTCTTCCTCCATCACCAGTAGAAACTCTGGTAGACACACTCTGTAGCTCGGGTCATAAGTCACGTCCTGTTGCTTGCACCGGCCACCGGCAAGGTCTGAACAGAAGAGTTTGTGTCCGTTTCTCCAGTCGAGCGTCTGGTGGTGTCTGGAGCAGTAGTGAACCGTCCTACAGCGACTGCACTTCTTGGGACCTGCACTGCCACACACCACACAGAGTGGAGTGGGCTCTGCAACTACAGTACTAGGACCCTGTTTCAATGATTCACTGACTGCAGTACTGCCATCAACAGCTTCAGGTTGACTAGGGCTGAAACAGGTTTGGGTACTAAATATGTCCACTCTCGGTTCACTAGTAGCACCAGTTGACTCTGACCCAATGCTGGCTGACTCATCCCCTGAACTTTCCTCTCCACTGTCCTCGTAGAACGAGTTCGTCTTAGGAAGTTGACAGCGAAAGACGCTAAACCCGTGAGCACTGTTCTTCTGGTGACAGGACGGGTTGAGGCACATAAACAGAAAGAAGGTTCGATGGAAGGCGCTAGGTGTGTCTTCAAGAGGAGCGTACACCTGAAGGAGAAATGTTCTCGGGAGACCGCACACGCGGCACGCCGTTTGCTCCGAGGTTGGCAGGTGAGTCGGATCCAGCCAGGCAGGTCTTCCTCCCACTTTGCTTGGGAAGTAGGGACTGGTGAGCTCCTCTGGACACTCGGCTTTCTCCACGAATCCTAGCTCTACTTTTCCAGTCATGATTGTCGTTTGTGGGCGTGGCACTTGACCACGTGTGCAGTTATGCACCTTGACCCCTGGGCAGCATGGCGGAGAGAACGGGTGGCAGCGAGAAAGGGTCGAGGAAGAGGCGAAAAGGCAAGGGGGCAAGAGACAAAGAGTTTTCAGAAAGACGGAACCGAAGTGGAAGACTGAGCTGAAGGAGATAGAGACTGTTCGGGAATTGTACGACACGATAGACGTCGAGGAACTGGCAAAGTTTTCCGACTTTCCCCTCTCCAAGCGGACCCAAGACGGACTCCGGGGAGCAGGTTACGCCATACCGACCGATATCCAGCGGGCAGCCATCCCGCTAGCCCTACGCGGCAGAGACGTCCTTGGTGCTGCTAAGACGGGCTCCGGAAAGACCCTGGCGTTCCTGGTCCCCGTCCTGGAGCTGCTGTGGGCCGAGCGGTGGTCCCCGGACGACGGAGTCGGAGCTCTCATCGTGTCGCCGACACGAGAGCTGGCCTACCAGACGTTTGAGGTCCTGCGTCGGGTGGGGGTGAAGCACGACCTGTCTGCGGGGCTAGTGATTGGAGGCAAGAGCTTGCAGAGCGAGCAGGAGGCCATCGAACGGACCAATATCGTAGTTTGCACGCCGGGCCGCCTTCTCCAGCACATGGACGAGACTGTCAACTTCCATTGCTCTTCTCTCAAGCTCCTAGTCCTGGACGAGGCCGACCGAATCCTCGATCTCGGATTCCAGGCTACCGTCAATGCCATTGTTGAGAATCTCCCGGCAGAGAGGCAGACCCTGTTATTCTCGGCCACTCAGACCAAGTCTGTGCGGGACCTGGCTCGACTCAGCCTCCAGGACCCAGAGTACGTGGCCGTCCACCAGAACTCACAGTCCAGTACTCCACACCGTCTCGTACAGAGCTATCTCGTGTGTGAGCTCCCCGAAAAGTTAAACACTCTCTACTCGTTTGTCAAGAGCCACTTGTCAGCCAAGATGATTGTCTTCATGTCCAGCTGCAAGCAGGTCAAGTTCACCTATGAAGTCTTTTGCCGGCTAAGACCAGGAGTTCCCATCATGGCACTGTACGGCCGACAGAAACAGCCGCGGAGGGTTGGAATCTACGAGGACTTCTGTCGTAAGAAGAGCGCCGTTCTGCTGTGCACCGATGTTGCAGCCCGTGGCCTAGACTTCCCTGCGGTAGACTGGGTCATACAGCTAGACTGCCCCGAAGATGCCAACACCTACATCCACCGAGTGGGACGAACAGCTCGCTACGAGAAGGAAGGAAAGGCCCTCCTCTTCCTGCTCCCCTCCGAGGAGGAAGGGATGCTGGAGCAACTACAGACCAAGAAGATCCCCATCCAGGGCATCCGAGTCAACCCAAAGAAGACTCTCTCGATCCAGAAGAAACTTGGGCAGTTCTGTGCGCAGGATCCAGAGGTAAAGCACTGGGCCCAGCGTAGCTTCATCTGCTACCTCCGCTCGGTTCATTTACAGTCCAACAAACGAGTGTTTGATCTCAGGAGCCTCCCCACAGACGAGTACGCCAGGTCCCTGGGACTGGCACAAGCACCGAGGATACGATTCCTCAAGAGGGAAGAGGCCGCAAGGAAGAGGGCAAAGAACAAAAGCAGGGGTTCCGCCGTGAGCAGTGAAGATGGTGTCAGTAGCCCTACCCATGACTCAGCTGTGGCTCCAGAACACGGTGATAGTGAGTCATCCGATGGATCAGGCAGTGAATCGGACGATGGCGAGATCCTGAGAGTGAAACGTGTGATTCAGCCTGACGAGAGTGATCAGGACCTCGCCACCACGCACCACGACACGAGGGAAACCGAAACAAAACAGAAGAAGGTCGCGACAAAGGTGTCCTCTGCCAAACGTCTCCTCAACAAGAAGATCAAGGTCAACACACACATCAAGTTTGACGAGGAGGGAGCTCCCGTTGGTCCACCAGTGACTGAGCAACCAGCTGGTGAGAGCAGTGACTCGGAGCATAGTGAACAGGACGACACCGTCCACCCCATCCCGATACAGCACTACTCCGAGATTGAGAGGGGTCGCCTTAGAGTGGGTGGGATTAGCATTGCCGATGCTCAGGAGCTGATGAGGAAGAGGGACAGGGGAGACAGGGCTAGGGAGAGGGAGAGGATAAGGACGAGGCACCGGGAGCTGCGCAAGAAGATGAAGAAGACGGCTGGGATGGATGTGGAGGGTGAGGAGGAGGTGGTGATTGGGGGAAGGAGTGAGGCCAGCGATGAAGAAGAGGAGGAGGAAAACTCAGAGACCAGCAAACGTATAAAGCTCTCAATTGGTGGTGATGATGATGATGCAGGAAGTGATGTACAGCTGACTGACGATGAAGAACTTGCACTTCATCTGCTCAACTCATAGACTTTCTTGTTGTAAATTTGGGTCTCTATGGTCGGTTTACTGCGCATGCGCTCTTTGTTGGGGGCGTTAATTGGAGAAAGGCTTCTCCGTGTCGAATACGCTAGACTGCAGACCGTCTCTGTATATTATATACTCCTGCTAGCTCGTTTTTCGACAGAGAATCAACATGTCGGACATGGACGAAGACTTTATGTACGATCAGGACGATGACTATGGTCTGGTAAGCTCCCCCTCTGTGACTAAGGTCAAGAGTGCGAGCCAACCCTTTGTGTTGTAGGAGTTTGCCAGCGAGTCGGAGGAGAGTGAGACTGATGTGAACATTGAGAACGAGTACTACCAGGCCAAGGCCGCAAAGGAGGACAACCCACAAGCTGCCATCTCTGGATTTGAGAGGGTATGTTATTAGATGTCAATCTGGTCTGGGGCTTCCCCTCCCTGCTTGCACTCTACTGAACCTCTCCATGTATACATACATCGGAACTTCTAGCACTACGCCAGATCTTTAGCGCCGCGTACATCAGTCAGGCCTCTAGTTCTACGTCAGACCTTTAGCACTGCATAGATCAGTCAGGCCTCTAGATCTATCTTTGGCACTGCGTACATCAGTCAGGTCTCTAGATCTATGTCCTGTGTGTGTGTTTGGTCAGGTTCTGGAGTTGGAGGACAGGAAGGGGGAATGGGGGTTCAAGGCTCTCAAACAGATGATGAAGATACTCTTCAGAAAGGTGTGTACAGTATAGTCTGTGATTCTCCTAGTAGTCATGCACATAATGGTACTATCATAGGGAGATTTTGAGGAGATGAAAAAGAAGTACAAGCAACTGCTGACATATATCAAGGTATCCCTGGCTTCTGATGGTGTATATATGTACATTGGAGTTCAGCATTGCTGTTCAGGCGTCTTGGTGGTTTAATTACCCAGGCACGACCGATAGAGCACTCTGCCTAGACTGCAGTGTTTTTGGTTTCAATCCCATCCAGGGCAACTCTTTTTTCCTTGTTTTTCCTTGGAAAGAAGGCATTGTAATGGTGGTTGTTGAACTGTCAACCCTTGGTGTGTGCGTGAAAGGCAAGCGTTACGGTACTTGGTTGCATGAGTACATATATATGTCCGTCCACCTCTCTGTCTGTCAACTGTCACCACGTGCAACAAGCTGGCCAAAGATCGATACCAACAGGTTGAATACAAAATGGCACAATACTGTGTTCAAGAGTTGTGGCGCGAAAACCAAGCAAACAAGCCAATATGCTCGATCAGGTTTTGTGTCCTGCGGAGACACCAGGAGTCACAGCAGAAGGCGAGGGTGGAGCCCAATGGTACCGAAACACTAGCTAGCCTGTGTCAGACTCTCAGCTAGCTAGTAGCGAGAAACAGCGGTAAGCATGCATGGCCCAGCCCATGCATTAGCAGCACAGTATGACTGAGGCACGCATGCGTATGAATAGCATTTGTGCGCCAAGGTTTTGTGCTCTTTTGGTTTGTACTACCTTTGCTCTATGTACCTCACTTACATTGTGTGTAGGACGCAGTGACCAGGAATTACTCAGAGAAGTCTCTCAACTCTATTCTGGACTATGTCTCCACATCACAGCAGGTCAGACTCACTCACTCGCTGTCATCAGTCCCAGCTACAGCTATCCGTGCTGTTTGTAACTCTATTCTTCACAAAATTGCCTTTGTGTCGGTATGTACGTATCATTTAGACAGTACCACACTGTTGTAGAGGATGGTACAATGTTTCAAAGGCAATGTGTAGGATAGCATAATAATGGCACACACTTGTGCATCTAATGTGTAAATATGAACCGTGTCCTGCCCTGCAGAGTGAGCTCCTCCAGTGGTTCTATGAGACTACTCTGGAGGCACTACAGGATGCCCGCAATGACCGGCTCTGGTTCAAGACTAACACCAAGGTATCCTACTTTTGTTGCAGTAAAGAGCGTGCCTTCAGGAGTAATGCCTAGATGAAAGCTGCTTCTCAGGCATGCACCTGTATATATATATATATATATATACATACCATATATTTCATCCTGGGAGCAACCATTCAAAGCCGCCCGCCCTTGTCCCCTTGTGTGGTGTACATGAGGCAGTCAGCCCTCTCTGATCTCTCGTCTTCAGCAGTGGCCAATCCGTCATCTTGCTATATACCTTGTACTGACTGGGTGTAAGTGCTCCTGTTTGCACGCAGGTATGCAGTATGTAGCTCCTTATAACGCTGCCCTGAAGTATGTAGCCCAGTAAATATTGTGCATTCAAAATAATTACCACAGATAAACAGTTTGAAGACAATATTGTAGGGAAGGATTGTACATAGGAAAAGAAATCAGCACTCCTTACAAACGAGCACGTATGTTTTTTGGTTCGTACCAAGCAACTGCCAGCCTGCTCTATTCATGAGGCGGCAATAACTGCTACCAAAACAAAGAAAATAACTATAAAGCTGATCAGAGCCGTGGTTGTCATCGTGAATGACCATGCCAAATTGGTCTTAATCTTTTTTGTGTCTCGACCTCCCTGGGTCAGGCTTGCATGAGCCTGCAGCGGGTCAGAGTGAGGTTAGTGGTACATTTTGTACTTCGTAAAGCAGCACACGTACCGCAATAGCCCAGAAGTATCCGATAGCACTGCAGATGATGCCAGGCCAGAAACAGGCAATGGTTAAGCCAAGGAGGGCTACACTGTATATAATGGCAGCTCTGCTCCAAACCGTCAGATTCACTGTGTTTTCCTCCCCACCGGCGGGCTGTGTAGCAACTGTTACATGGCCCGCACTTTGCTGGAGAAGCACATACCTGAGTAGCAGGAGCAGTCGGTGCTGGCTGGTTTAGCTGGGCTGCTTGCTGGTGCTGGTGTGGATAGTTGCCCTGCTGGTGTGGATAGTGGGGCTGTTGCTGGGAATAGTTGGCCTGCTGGTGTGGATAGTGGGGCTGTTGCTGGTTAGGTTGCTGCTGGGGCTGCTGTAGGGGTTGCTGCTGTGCTGGGTAAGGTGATGGGTAGGCTGCTCCCTGGTGGTAAGGAGACAGCTGGAGCTGCGGTTGAACTGTGGAGTAGCAGGTTCAGTGAGAAACTATGATCATTCATTGGCAAATTTACATCAGCTAGTCATACCATTCTCCATGGTCTTCAGGAACTGACTTTAGAGTTTGACTGTCCGCTCAGTTGCTTTTTGCCTTAATCCTGCAGCTTGTCTGGCCTCGTGTGCACTTGCTTTATATTATGCTGTGCAGAAAGCAAACATTGCATATTATGTAAACGATGCATTTATATAAGCCTTTCCGTAACACTTTCATTGCTAAAGGCAAACAAGGGTTCCGTTAGTCTACTATCTGATGGTCAATGCTGCAAGAAGACAGCGAGGCAATGAATATGTCCCTAGCATAGAAAGAACATCGTCCTCTGTTAGTTTGACGAAGTCCAGCAATACCCACCTGAAAGTTTATTCGGCCATTATAAGGATTTTTTCATAACTACTAACTGTGTGTATCTTTTCATGATGTAACACATCTGCCCCTCCTCTGTTCCAGCTGGGGAAGCTATGTTTCGAGCAGGGTGACTACGCGAGGCTGACTCGTATCATTCGACAGCTCCACCAGTCCTGCCAGACCGAGGATGGAGTCGACGACGTCAAGAAAGGGACTCAACTACTGGAGGTGAGCTGCTTCTCTTCTGCACCTGAATTGTTATCATGCAGTAATGTGCAGCACGCAATGACTGCTAAATGTAACCAACATCATGTACCACGCATTTAAAGCGAAATGACCATTATTTAAAGTGAAAATCTAACACGAATCGAGTTTTGCTCGACCACAAAAAATTTCCACGTTCGTAGGTTTGTTAAGGCCGATTTGGGCCACCATATTTTCCAACTCAGGCCCATTGCACATTCCAGCTATTGCCAAGGTGCTCAGGATTGTTCATTGGTCCACGTTTGTCCTACTTGCTTGCTAAAAGTACGAAAAGTTTAGTCCATGAGCACTGCATTTTACAGCTATAACCAAGGTATTCAGGATGGTAATTGGTCAGCCGCCCACTTGCCTGCTAAAAGTACGACAAGTTGAGGCAACCAAAACTAATACGCCACACAGCTCTTGAGTTGGCACTGCACACTCCAGCTACATAGGTAGTATTCAAGATCATTGGTTGCCCTCTCTTGTCTCCCACATGCTTGCTAAAAGTACGAAAGGTTTAGGCCACCTTGGTATCATTGCAAAAAATACGCCGCACATCTCTTGAGTAATATTGGCACTGCACACTCCAGCTACATAGGTAGTATTCAAGATCATTGGTTGCCCTCTCTTGTCTCCCACATGCTTGCTAAAAGTACGAAAGGTTTAGGCCACCTTGGTATCATTGCAAAACTAATATGCCACAGGGCTCTTGAGGAATATTGGCACTGTACACTCCAGCTACATAAAGATCATTGGTTGCCCTCTCTTGTCTCCCACATGCTTGCTAAAAGTACGAAAGGTTTAGGCCACCTTGGTATCATTGCAAAAAATACGCCGCATATCTCTTGAGTAATATTGGCACTGCACACTCCAGCTACATAGGTAGTATTCAAGATCATTGGTTGCCCTCTCTTGTCTCCCACATGCTTGCTAAAAGTACGAAAGGTTTAGGCCACCTTGGTATCATTGCAAAACTAATACGCCACACAGCTCTTAAGGAATATTGGCACTGCACACTCCAGCTACATAGGTAGTATTCAAGATCATTGGTTGCCCTCTCTTGTCTCCCACATGCTTGCTAAAAGTACGAAAGGTTTAGGCCACCTTGATAGATACGCTACACAGCTCTTGAGGAATATTTGCACCACTGCACACTTCAGCTATATAGGTAGGGCCTGAGGGCTTCTAAATCGCGTAGATTTCACAGACGAGCTGCCTAACTTGTTTAGAGAGAATCCACATCCAATTTCACACATGCTCGGGTTGCGCGGGGTAATGGCACCAGGGGCATTTAGAATTCATGAAATGTGAATTCTACGAGATTTAGAAGACACGAAGTTCACATGAGTGAGCTTTAAATCTTGGTGTGGTGTTGTGTGCTGACTCCAGCCTGTCATCGTGTATACAGGTGTATGCCCTTGAGATTCAGATGTACACAGAGCAGAAGAACAACAAGAAACTGAAGGCCCTGTACGCCCAGTCTCTGCACATCAAATCCGCCATCCCCCACCCCCTCATTATGGGTGTCATCAGAGGTAATGTGTCTGCTGCTCACAAGTAGTATGAGAGTGTGTTCATGTGGATTATGCAATGGAACAAGAGCTACGTACTGAGAAACTGCATGTTGAAAAGGCCGATGAGGGGTTGACGTGTGTCTTGAAACGATCCTGTACGTCACTGGGTGTGTTACAGAGTGTGGTGGTAAGATGCACCTGAGAGAGGGGGAGTTCAGCAGAGCTCACACTGACTTCTTTGAGGCCTTCAAGAACTATGATGAGTCTGGCAGTCCCAGGTGAGGGAGGCCCTAGCAATTATCTATTGCCTGCCTAACCTTTTTCTACTTCCCTTACACACTCACACACACTTACCTCCCTCCCTTTGTATCCTCTTCCTCTCTCTTTTCTCTCTCCCTTACTATGTCTGGCTCTCCATCCCTACCTCTCTTATTCCTTTTTCTTTCCTTCCTCCCTCCCTCCCTCCCCTTGTCAGGCGTTTGGCATGTCTGAAATACTTGGTTCTGGCAAACATGCTGATGAAATCGGGAATCAATCCATTTGACTCACAAGAAGTACGTTCACGATTCATGTTCATATTCCCACCTGTCCACCTAGAGTTCCGTATTATCATGATCACCTTTTTAAGGCTACACACCAAAAGCTCGAAAATGTCGAGATGTGAATAATGAAATACACACCAAAGTTGCTAAACTTACCAAAACAAAAGTAATACACATGTTGGACGTTGGGGCTCAGTCTGTTTTGCGACTGTGCGCCCTTCTGTGGAAGCCAAACGCGAGCAGTGTGAATAACCTAGTGCCACTTATACTCTGTGTGATATATACTCGAAAAAATCAGTACAGATTTTGAGATTGCTGAGTTTTCACAAGGAAGGTTTGTACGTGCATATGAGGAGAGACCTCTTTCTTTCCCTCTCTGTCCCTCTCTCCTCCCTCTCTCCGTCCCTCTTTCTTTCCCTCTCCATCCCTCTCTCTTTCCCTCTCTCCGTCCCTCTTTCTTTCCCTCTCCATCCCTCTCTCTTTCCCTCTCCGTCTCTCTCTCTTTCCCTCTCCATCCCTCTCTCTTTCCCTCTCTCCGTCCCTCTTTCTTTCCCTCTCCATCCCTCTCTCTTTCCCTCTCTCCGTCCCTCTTTCTTTCCCTCTCCATCCCTCTCTCTTTCCCTCTCCGTCTCTGTCTCTTTCCCTCTCTCCGTCCCTCTCCGTCTCTCTGCCTCCCCAGGCCAAGCCCTACAAGAACAACCCGGAGATCCTGGCCATGACCAACCTGGTGCAGGCCTACCAGAACGATGACATCACTGAGTTTGAGAAGATCCTGAAAACAAACAGGTAGGTAGGAATTGGTCAGCTTGTCTAACTATGTGTCTCCCACAATCACAAACCATTTTAATCTCTTCAAATTAGGTTACAATATCAACAGTGTGGGTGTGCAGTAACAACATTCTCTGGGGCCTTAGCCTAGTCGTCTGCATGCCTGATGTAGTTTGTGTGTCAGTACTGTGACTCAGCTAAACTAAAGAACGTTAGCAGTTTGAGAGCGACCATTTTCCCTGTTAACTTATGGACCACACTCATCCTCCGCCAATTCATTCTCTGCAATTGCAGAAGTAATGCCATTCAGGATGTGCCCACACACATGTAGTTATCATAATTCGTAAATTTTTCTTTTCCGCTGTGTGGTTGCTCGTGGGTTAGCAGTCTTTTCTGTCCACCCCCTCTAGAAGAACTATAATGGAGGACCCCTTCATTAGGGAGCATATTGAGGAGTTGCTGCGGAACATCCGTACTCAGGTCCTCATCAAACTGATCCGTCCCTACACCAGAGTTCGCATCACCTTTATTGCACAGGTATATACTGTTGTACATACAGTTGTAGGTACACTGTATATACTCTGTTACGCGATCCTACTTCAGCTGCTGCCTTTAGATACACCCACATTAGTGTGATACAGGTCAGCTGTATGTATGCTGTGGAGAACAATATTATCATACCCACACATTTATGTGTATGTACCCATGCAAACTGGTTAAAGGTATGCAATGTAGTTGTATACATACCCATCCACATTGAAAAGTACTGGTCCCGAGGCCTCCTTTCAGTGGTCCCACAGACCGTAACACACGGCGGGTGTCAAATTGCAAGGTACTCTGCAATTCAGAACTACAAATTGCCCACCCTATACATATTGTGTAACTGGACACGCACAATAATGCATGGTTGTATAATTATACAATACACAAACGCAACTTTTAGACTCTTACACAATTATACCTGGTTCTACGGTGTATATATACTACACTGGCGGTGGCCCTCATGTCACTTGATCAGGAGCTGAACATTGATGCCGAGGAGGTGGAGACTCTAATGGTGTCTTGCATCCTGGACAACACCATCCACGGCCGTATTGACCAAGTACAGCAGATACTGGAGGTGGACCATGAGCCACAGGGCAGCTCCAGGTACAAGGACACTCACTATATAGCTGCTGTCAGACTAGCCCTACTTCTGTCAGCACTTAAAGTTAACCTCTCTCTTGGAGTGTTCTGACCCAGCAACACTGGTTAACGGAAATTCTTGATCCAAAAAGGATCCAGGACACCTCTATGAGGGGCACTTACAGTTGTGTATTACCTCACAGTAAGTATATAAACTGAAGGAAGCTGCCCCAATCAATGTGTCCCTTATTCAGAGGTTTCACTGTATATGTTTCCACTTGATGTGTACATTGTCTGACTCAGTGTGATTGTAAGGGTCGAGCGATGTTTCCCCCCCGTCTGTCTGCAGATATGCAGCTCTGGAGAAATGGACTGGTCACCTTCACACGCTTCACACTAGTCTCATTGGACGTGTAGTTTGATCACTGTATAATGTAGTATGTACGTGCAAATTATTACAAATTCCGCCCAACGCTCTGTTCCGTCTCCTATGTATGCTGTTCTTGCTTGTGATGAACCCCCTCCTTGTCACTGTCTCACTAATACTTTTATCCTCTCCACATTATATATAACCACATGCAAACCGAGTTTAGTTTTGAAGGTGGTGCTTGAGCTTCTACAATCTCTCACAAAACATAGGGTTGGCAATTTTCAGTGAATGTACAAATCAGCTACAGCATGCGGTTGTCAGCTAACAAAATGTGCAGTGAAACAGAGAGCAAAATGGTTGACAACCAAACACTCTCTGCTCCCTTGCTATTAAAGATGATTGGCTGCTGAAGTTGTAGCATACAGCACTCTTATGTGCATTCTATATAGTCTATAATTAAATGAGTATAGACACTTCTCCTGACACAAGAGAAGTAACTTGAATGGTAGCTGGTATGATTGGCTTGAATTTCAGGAGAATCTCGGGAACTCAGGAGATCGAGTTGGCAACCCTGAGCCCATATTTGAATCTCGTATATACTAACCATGCGAAGAGTAATGTTTTAACACTAGTAGCTTGCCACACGTAGCCTGGTATAATTATACAAAGAATGTGGTTGGTAACCACACACTGGCAACATGTACACATGTAGAAAATACCATGTGATGTATATTTGTGGGGCACGAAGCAATTTGCACTCTGCCACGTTATACTGTTGTAGCATGAGATAATCAACTAATGATTGAATGTGGGCGATTGTGGAAACGAAAATCACAGGTGAATGCATTCTGGCTTATTAAAATCCCACAATGCGAGGATTCAAAAAGGGTATATAGGAGGTGATCTTAGGTAACAGACTTGATCTTTAGTCTACAGTGTACGTGGTAATGATTAGAAGTGCTGATGCTGTGAATGACAGAAGTGTAGGTAACAGCCAAAATGGTGGAGGTCCGTGTGATGTATGGTGTTCTAGGAGGGAGACATGGGAGGATAGTGCAGCTGTGGGGAGGAAAGAAGGCAAATCTAACATCCTATTAATAAGAGCCTTCCGGTGCTGATTTTATGAAAAATGCAAGCTTGCCTGTCAAACTGTACTTACATAATTATGTCACATGGCCTATTATTGTGGTTGGGCCATCAGGTCCATCCAGTGGGATGCACCTGTTCTGTACGTATATAGGTCTAATATCGAAATCGTGCACTAGCTAAGGTGCTTGTGATGCCTGCTATAGCTAGTGCACAGGATATATAGCTATAGTGCTGTGTGTACAATGGTGCATATATACCTGACTGTGGGAGGTTCGTGAGTTGGTGGGTGTGGCAGAAGAAGAGGACAGCCTACGTTTCTCTGACCCACTCACCCAACTCGGGGCACCTGTACACAGAGGGGTTGTATTGACTTAACACACAGACACTGAAGAAAGAGGTATCAAACCACTCTAATACCATCTAGACACTCCCACAAAACTATGGTCTGAAAAAGAATGTTCTTTTGTGTGGGCTTGGAGTGTGGGTGTAGATGTCTTTCTAGTTGGAGATGTCTTTCTAGTTGGAGAGTTCACTGGCCAGCATGCCTCTGACCACACCTGCCAGCACACTGGTTATCCCAGACACTGCACATGTTCACTATCACAGTCAGAATATTCACAAGGCACAATCTTCTTCACTACAAGACTTGAACGTTGAACCCTACCATGCCCAGATGTGTAGTCTCACCTGACGGAGAGGCCTCACGAATGCTGCCACTGGATATGGACTGCTCAGTAGAGGTCTCACTGAAGACACTCTCTCGCTGTTCCCCCGGACGAAACGCCCCCGTCTCTGGGTGTCGGTACGCTCCGGGGACGTGACTCCCGCCAGTCGAAAGCTGAACCGAGTCGTTGTCGGCCGTCATCTCTGAGAAGGAGCTGAGTTCGTCCGAGTTCCTCCTGCCTCTGGTGGCACCATTGGGGTACATCTGCTGTGGCGGGGGAGGGTAGCGATCGAGGGTGGAGGCCTTCCGCGGAGGAGGAATGTAGTCTGGCGGCTCCACGGTGGCATAGTCTGGTCCTCCATCCATGTCCTTCTCGTTCACCGGGTGGAGCATGCTGGCACTGCGGATGACCCGCATGGCATGGACCCCTGCAGATGTGTTTGTGGGGGGAACAGTGGTAGTGGGGCTGGGGAGGTTCCCTGCGTGAGTGGTGCTAAACGAGCGGTTGGTGAACCCATGGTGGTGGGTTGGATGGTGCCCCACACTTCCACTCCTCCCTGCACCGTTCCCTGGCGGAGACCTCGACACCCTCGCAAATATCTCCAGCGAGCTCTGGGTGAGTGGGGGAGGAGCATGGCTCGGCGGCGGCGGGATTGGCCCCGCCCCTCCACCTCTGGGAAGAGTGGAGGCTCCGCCCGGGTGGACGGGAAACTCGTAGGGGTTTGGAATGTTTGCCCCGCCCTCTGTGTTGGCCCGCGGTCTGTGGGAACCACCGCCACCAGCCTCCATGTGTGGCGGTACACCAACACCAGTAAACACCTCTCCCATCTCTACTGGATCCATGTTGTTGAAGTTGCGAGGCATGAATCCCGGGTCCCCCATGGCTCCACCTTTGGGCGAGGGGAACTTGGGACTGGTGGGGGAGTGGACGGGCGGCGGGTGCATGGGTAGGGGCATCGTGAAGTGGGTGGTGGGCAGGGGAGGAGGATAGTCACAGTGGGGTGGCATGGGGGAGGAGAGGAGGGGGCGAGAGGGGGTCACGGGGCTCGGGTTGGACATGGGGCTGAAGTGTTGGGCACGGGAGCCCATGGGGCGCGGGGAGAGGTGAGCTGATGGCGAGCCGGCCGACATAGGGGAGAGTGGGTACATCTGGATGTCTCCACCTTGAATACCTGTGGAGCATGAGTAGGTAGACTAATTTACACAACAAAAATGGAGTTTGTTCACTGTATACAATACTCTACACAAGTAAGTGGTGGTCAACGTCGGTGTTAGTTTCTATCTCTATACCTGATGCATTTACACAATCGTTTGTAACGCAGTGTGTATTGTGCTCAATTGGCATGTGATATCAGTCCAGAAACAGTGAGAAGTTTTGAGTATAGTGTGCAATATGCATGAGAATGGATCAGTATATAATATATGTACAGTGGAAACGGTTGTGATATATATAGTCAGAGCTGAAGGGTTGCTTACCTCTAGCATAGTGGATCTTGCTCTTTCTCTCCCTGGCCTTCTTGCACATGACGATGCCAAACACCACTGGGACCACGGCCAGTACACCTACCAACAGAATGTAGACATGGGGAGAGCTCAGGAACGGAGTTGGGGGAGGGGACGTTGGCCGAGGCACATCATCAGCTGTGTGTGCATTCATTAGCACAATTTAAATGCAGTGTATATAAGTACATAATTATATTGGATGTAATATGGCGTAGGTTAGGAAGAGTTAGGGTTACGTTTCTCTGATTATGAAGACAGTAATGTGTTAGTTCTAATAAAGTGATACACAAAAGGGGATTGAAGGTTTTCTTTAAGAACGGGATTCTTCCCTTCCAAAGGCCTCCATAGGCACGGAATAACAAGCGGAAAAGTCGTACTGTAGTTACCATCCCATCTTAGCACCATATTGCACAGTGCGATATGTAATGCAAGTTTTATATGGAATCAACTAGCTAATGATTAACACAGGATTCCTGCCAGAAACCCAAATTAGCAACTACACCAAGCATCATGGGGTGGCTGTCATGCACGCGCCTTGCCCTGACCAACAATAATGATCACAGACATAGTTTTTGCCCAACAACTCCAAATTGCGGTTTCATGATACCAAGTTGTTGAGACATGCATATACTCGGTTTGGAGTTGGGCGTCTTTGGTGGTTTAATTATATACCGGTCTGCTCCTACATACTGAGTGAGAGTTTACTGTGCGGTTTGAGGTTTGCCTTGTGTTGTGTTGTAGATTCGAACCCCTACCAGCTGAGTTGCCCTGGTAGCTCAGTTGGTAGAGCGCTCACCTAGACTGCAGAGTGTCGCGGGTTCGAATCCCACCCAGGGCAACTCTTCTTCTGAAAAGAGAGAGCTGTCCTGGGTGTAGTTGCCTTGCCTTTCTACCTCGTTACCAAGTTGTTGAGACCTACAACTATACATCTCAACACACATATACATACATGTAGCAGAGACAGCCCAATTTTCCAAATTTGAACCGTACACTCAGACACAATAACCAGTTTCAACACAGAGTGAATCGTCCTCAAAGACAGGCCATCATTTAGAAATGCATCCAGCCACAAAATGGGAGGTAAAACCCTCGGGTTTGTAGACATTAAAAGGTCTGGTTAAACTCCGGAGGCAGGGGGAAGAGAGTCTATCAAGGGCCCCTGCCTCCCTCGTAAATAAACCCCTGCAAGATAGGTGTGAGTGTGTGTGTCAGGAGACCTGCTAGGAGGGTGAGCTGGCGAGACAATCTGGTGAAGGTAAAGTAGAGAGGGTCTGAGCTGGGACCCCAGGCCTTGTGGTTGACTGGGAACACTATGACACGGTAGCACAACTCAGAGAGGGAGAGCTGCGTGCTGGTGATGGCACGAGACGTTTGAATGGTTTCTGGTCAATTGGAGCTCCTCCACACATACTCTCCTGCTTGTACATGAACACATACACCTGTGGCGTGAGAGGAGGAAAGGAACACTATTGAGAACCAGTAGAGGTTCATTAGCCACTAACAGGGGTAAGGAGGGGTGACGCAGATGAGCGTGAAACACGAGGCACTCTCTCTCGGTCATCCCACAAATTCCCCGCATTCTAAGAGCCTCAGTACTACTACCAGACCGTAAGTAGGGGTATACAGTGACTTCACGTGTAGGAAGGGAGAGAAGGTGGTGTGGAAGGAGAGAGGGTCATAGGGAGCAACTGGGAGTGCACGAACCACGTGGTGGCAATTTCAGGTTCACCAAGTCAGTGGGCAACTCCTTTCTACCACACATGCAATGACAGCCTGCATACCCCCACTGTTCCATTACTTCGCCCCTGGGAACTCACATGACACCAAATGCCCCAAGCTTTGTGTAGAGTATTATTGTCCATTACACGTACACACATGGGCAATTATGAACGTTTGGAGCAGGGTATCTATGCGGGAGCCGGTATGTTTGATTTGTCTAGTGGCACACAGACACTCACACAATAGGAGCCTGAAAGGACCTTAGCAACACTCTCTCTATCAGTGACTTACAGTGCACAGTTGGGAATACAGCATACAAAAACACCAAGAGAGAAAAGTTTTGAAAACTTAGAGGGACATCAGTGAAAGTATTCCCATTGGAAGTTAGTAGTGTACCCATATCATGAAAAAATGTGTCTCTTTGCTCTACTACATAATTCATATGGCTTAAGTGTTGGTTTTGGAAAAGCTCGCATAGTGTAAATGCTCACATAGTATCCATAGGGCACACCGTTCCAGTCGCCAGAGCTGAGGGGACTCCAGGAGATGGTGGCCTCGTGCTCTCCACTGCCAACAAGACTCACTGACAGGTTGACCACCTTCCCTGTCGGCTCTGCAGCGACAGAGAGGGGGGTAGAGAGGGAGGCGAGGGGGGAAGGGGAAAGAAGGGAGAGGGACAGAGAGAGGAGGTTGATAAGATGAAGAAGAAATTGTTAGACAATAGAGTGCACTTCCATACTATGTACGACCAAAACATACTGAGACTGAAACAGGTGCTTCTTTGTGATGAGCAACTCAGTCCTTTGCAAACATCTCGACACAATACATATATACCACTTGTGCTGGGAGGGTGGGGCATCGTACACACCAGCAGGGATTCCACCCTTACCCAATGGCACATGACCCACACGGACATTTGCACACATAGGGCAAGTTCAGATAGAGGCAAGTGTAACCATTGAGAGTCAAAAATAGACGTGTTTGCAAACAACACAGACATCTATTTACATACCACAACAACAAAAATCATTAGTTTGTTGTTATATTACACACAGCCACAGCCACAAGACTAAACACTCAATTCAGAAGACTCTGATTAACAGCCCTAATGGCAAAAATTACTTCAGCTATCAAGACAATACAAACTTCATATCAGATGTTGTAACCCACAAAAACAAAATAGCGAGAGACAGTATTGGTTATGAAAGGGGTATCCTACTTGGCATAGAGTTGTTACGCTTGCTTTGTTATAGTTACACATACGTACTAACACATGGCCTCAAACTCTTGTCTCATGTCCTGACAGAGAAATGGCAACACACCCATCATCACACACACACAGTTTAACATCTCACCGGCTGCCTCAGTGTTGAAACTGAAGGCGGGGCTGGCCACACCCACTCTCCCCTCGCTGCAGCGCAGCCTCACGGCCACGAGGTAAGAGGTATAGGGATGGAGGTTCTGAAGGGTTGCCTGCTCGCTGCTCAGTCCAGTCACATTCACTCCAGAGTATCTTGTATCGGCCTTTGACCAGTAGATCACCTGGTAGCCCAGGACATGACTAGCACCCGACTGGACCTGGAGTGTACACATTGTACGTATGTATATATATACAAGGGTAAGATATATGGGATGCCGGATGGTTGTGTACCACAATGAAACATATAGTAAACTATTGAAATTGTTCTTTGTGTAGACCGAAACCTCCCACAAAAACTCAATCCCGGATTTGTGATCTAACAAACCACATCTTTAAACTATTTACTAGTCTCTATAATAGTGGTGTAGAACTTTTGGCTACATTTGAGTTGGGGGGGGAGGAGAACGTACCACAACAGCGTCCCAGTGGATTGTAGCAGAGCTGTTGGTGACTGCAGATACACTCACTCCACCTGGAACATCTCTATCCTCTGCGTAAACCACATTGGGATACATTAATCTCTTATCCACGTGCTGTAGTGTCGCTAGCAGTAACCATATACATACCAGGAAACGCACTGTACTGTACAATAGTGTGTGTACATAGATAAGTGTCTAGTCTACCGGCAAATCACAAGCAGTACATGCATACACGCAACATAGTTCAGTTACTCAACAAATACACGTGCTGTAGAGCAATATTAATGGTACTGTATTCTGTGTGAGTACATACATAATGTAAGAGCTAGGCTAGTCTGCCGTCTAGCCTATCAGTTCCCAACATATGGTAAGATCCAAGGGTGCCTTGCTGTACCAATTCCTTGCATGACCCTCTTTTGAATCCCTGAAGTACACCACAAGAGTATTATAATTTTGCAACTTCTCTATTTACAAGAACTCGCAGCTGTTGCGGAGTTCAACATTGTTAGAAACCATTGTGCAGCAGGGAACATGCAGTGCACTAAGTTCAGTCACGAGATGTATGTACAATACCAAGCAGTATACAGAAAGACTCAATCTGTTGACTAGTATCACCTAGCCATTAATTTTCATGGCTAGAAATACCTATTGACAAGCTATAATGTACACATTGGATGCAGCGCCACAAGTATTGAACACAAATCATGTCATTAGCGTGACATTGTATACAGAGCCAACTAAGGCAGACTGACTACTCCACTGTCTAATGTGGCATGTGGCTAGGAGACAGGGAGAGAGAGGAGGAGTGTGAGAAATGGAGTGTGTGGGGGGACCCACTTACTACCGGGTGCCAACTGAGAGGCGACTAAAGGGCATCCAACCGACTCACAGACATGCCTTTTGAGGGCACGGAATGTTTCGTTTCTCTAGTGACATGCAAGGAAGAGAGTCGCTCTATGTTGGTCTGTATGTTGTAGAGATCAGTGAGCCGTTTCGCAGCTGCCTTTATACCCACACATGTAATGTCTGGAGGGAATGGCACGTCTTTAGAACACAGATTGACACAGGAAACACACAGACCAATTATCCCTCTGCACTCACTTCACACACTCACGCTGCATACTAATCACAAGTGCTTGTCGTCAGTCAATGTACAGTGTGAAAAGAATGCCAGGGAGGGTGTAGGGTTACAGGGAGAGGTCTAGTCCAGTGACAGAGGGCAGACAACACAGCAGTACCCCACAGTCAGCCACGTGCTGCCCCTTAACAATCAATCAGTCACATTCACACCTACATACACGTTAGCTACGTACTACCAGGGTTCTTGCAGAAAGAAAAGTCTGCACTTTGGCTCTAGAAACCAGAAGGTGTATACACTGTACATACATATTATGTAGGCTTGGCCCAGTACCAGGCCTAGCAATACAAGGTGCTGCTAGGAATGTGTGCATGATAGAGAGAAAAGTAAATTCCACAAGCAAGCAAGGAAATGGCACCTCAGCCACAGGATATCATCTACACTTGATCATGTGTCATGGTGACACCCTCCAGGAACAGCCCTTTCTAAAGAGCATGCATCAAATGCCAGTAGTACTACAAAAGTATATGAATGCGTACTTAGATATGTAGCTGTGCCACCCATACAGTGTGGCATGGCCTTCTGCCTTACTCTAGACCAGCCGTGACTCCCAGCAATACAGGCTGGTAGCCTCCAACGCTAAAATTATGATAACACTTAATTGCTTCCCTGAGATTCCTCAGACCAGTGTCCATAGCTATACACACTGTTATCATAGGAGCAGCACTAGTGGATACCAGGCCTTGTGAGTCAAGGTTTACATAACACAGCAAGTCACGTGTACAGCACCAGGGGGAACACAGTGTATGTGACTACATACTGACAAACTGAACACCATTGTCCCCCATCACATCTCTTGTAAGAGAAGTAGCACTCGAATGGTGTGTGTACAACTGCCTAGGGGTGTAAAAGCCTCACGTGTCACCGCACTAATTCACAGATCCAAAACAAACTGTCACTCTCCTATACACAATCTCACTGCTACCCCATGCCCACATACATAGCTACAATATTACATGTATATACTACCACTTTCTATGCAAATTGCTCTACTAACATCGCCCTATATATGCCCTGCTATACCACTACCTGTACACTTATGTACATGTAGATAGCTCTCTAGGACAGTGTTACTGGATATCCACCAATCGTGTTTATTTGATGCACAGTTACTAGCGTTGGTGGCTGATCATGTCTGTAGTCCAAGAATGTCTCAGTCTGTATCCTACTTCCTCTGCCAATGCCAACCAGATAACCTAACACCCACAACACACACTCAACAGGCTAGGCTGTGAACAGAAACAAATTTGCACACCACAGCTTTCCATGTAAAGATGTTTCTACATGATAAAAAAGCCCTGCCCACCCCCTGTGTTGATAAAGAGGGAGTCCACATATACCATGCTCTGCTCCTCAGTAGGGAAAGGTCACTGGAGGCAAGGAGACAAGACCAGGCTGTGGCTGCCAGGACCCAGTCGAACCAGGTGGCCCACCAATCAGCACGGCAGCAATGTTGACATGTCAATTTGGCAGGGCAGCCGGAATCCCTGCCCAGATCAAAGACACCGGTTTCGAGATTCGACATACTCACGTCCTTATACTAAGGCTGAGTTGTAAAACCGCTATACCACACGATTCGTGTCATCTCTAAGGCACCAGCTTGTGATTACGGCAATCAACTAATGCTGTTTGTCTTGTGGCTCAACTGTCATTGTTGTGTGCAAACCTCATAACGTGGCAAGTCCAGTGGGACAAGACACAGTCCCAACAGTCGGTGACTGGCAGCACAGTTGACCCTAATCTGGCAATACACACAACCTTGGCCTCTGCCCGGGCTGGTGTGTACACATTGAGTGCCCCTAGCTCCGTAAATATATACACACCATATTGCACTCTATACAGTATGCAGATACAGTGCATAAAGGCTGAGTTTTGCGGTATATATATATAATACGAGGGACTGGAGGGCTGGGCTGAAGCAATCATGTTCACAAGTCTGGTAAGGGTGATCTGGCTACTACAGTGAGTAATTGGACAGCCTTTGAAGCTTCATTTCCCGGCCATTCCCACAGACTGATAAACCATACCACCGGTATAAATGGACATGTATACTACAAGCCTCCTTCCTTTGATCTACATCAGATGTACATGTATGCATTACCAACACCCTCCTTTCATCTAATCAGAATGTACATGCATGCTATAGTGAGCTTGGGCGAATCTAACTAGCCCTGTACTTTCATACCCAGACAGGTCACTATGGCTGACCGCTCCATGAGCAATTGCCCATTAGTAAATTACCATTAGGATGCAATTACACTCTCGCTGGTATGCTGTAGCAGAAAGCTGCTCTAATCAGAAAGCAACCGCCGCTCCTTGCTTTGACCATTAACTACACGTTAGCATTCGATTGGCTTTAGCAGTGCCTGGTTATTAGACCACAACAGTATTCCGGGTACAGCAATATCACTAGATTGCACACACAAGCTACAGTTAATTAAGCCGCCACACAACACATAATTTCTGCCGTATGCACGTAATTAATGTGGGGGGCATGCTGCTATACAGGGCCCATGTGGAGTTTTTTTGGTTTGGAAAAGATTGAAAGCCAGTGCAAGATGCAATACAGCCTTACCCGGGACAGCTAACGGGGTACTCTCCTACTCAGGTTACAAAGACGGTGCTTGCAGGCACGAAACATGACAAGCTGAAACAGATTTCTACCAATCATATCTGATTATTGAGGCTAGCACTCAAGCATTACTCTCCTCCGCACCAAGGACCTTTTCATAATCACTGAGCATGGTGATCTGTATGAACCTGGCATTAGTGGTCAGACAGGAGAGAACCTTGTGAATCTGCTAACGCTAAGCTTCAAAGTGACTCGATAATCCCATGGGGACTGCATGACAAGCTTGTGATCTGCAGAGGAGGCTACCTGCCAAGGCAAGGTTACTTCAACATATGCCGCCGTCCGTCAGGTCAGACTAGACAGAATCAGCAGGTTTTATGCAGGGATCGACCACTCACTCAGAGAGCTATATATAAGAGGATGCTAATTGCACACATTTTGCATTCCTCCAGTCTGTAAGGCATGAGTGAATCAGGAGTGAGAAAGAAAGTAAACGCACTTAAATATATTTGCACAAGGACTCATTACCAATAAAAAAAAATGCAGCACTCCTGCAACATGCTTCAATATACGACACACTACACTTGATAGGAGTACGAGAAAAAACTCTCACAACATACATACATACATACACATGTACATTTCATAGAGTTTCAGTTGGCAGTTGCATTAAGCTCACGAAAATAGACGTACAAAACCAACATTAAGAGCAGCTGCCATTAAGTTGAGTGGGCATGTCACCATAGGTTTCAAAACACTCAAAACACTCCTGGAATTGGGTGTCAGGTGTAAGAAACATGATGCTGTCACCACTTAAGAGACACAATTCAGTAGAAATCAATTGACAGTCCAGTGAAAATAAATCAGTTGGCTTGTAAGACTGAGGAGGTGTTGCTAAAGCCTGCTATAGTCACACATAAACATTATTGGGCTAGCTACCTATAATGAACTGGTGCAGCCTTGAAACTTACAGTGATTCACACACTAGAGACACAATTCAGTATAAATCGCTGACAGTTGGTGCAATGGCTTACTGAGAGGAAGTGTTGCTAAAGCCTGCCAGACTCAGGGCACTACAGTTGCACACTCAACACCCTGGCCAGGATGAATCCTGCAGCCTTTGAACTACATAGGCCTTGGCCACCTACACATGTGCATTACTTCATGCAGAATAATTCTCATGTTAAGTACACTGTACATGGAGAAGGCCTATACAGGTTTCAAGGTTGTTGAGATCACTCTATACTGGCTAGCAACACTACTCCATGCACAGGCGGTAGAGACATGGTCTTCCCAGCTTGCTCCATAAGGAGAGGGTTTCGAATGCATACACACCTTGTGGCTTGTCTACTACCACATAACTACATTAGATGCCTTTTCTCTCTTTATAATGGTCACCCCCACCCCACCTATCATTAAATTGACACAATTCAGATAAGTGTGGATGGCTGGCAGATTAATGGTGGATATGACACAGGCATGCACCATCACAGTTCGTAGTCATCACACGTTAGTTAGTTACACAGAGTCGTGTAGATGTAACATGGCAGATTTAATGGACTCACCACTTCCACATCCACCTGTTGTTTGGTTGATGAAGAAAACTGTTGGGAGAGAGACGATGAAGGGTAAGTAGAGAAATAAACAGGTGACTGTATAGCAAGAGCAACTCATAACAAGTTGCAACAGTACTGAACAGCATGTACCAATAACGTAGAGAATACAGTTACAGAATCGCAATGTATAATTTACACCGTGCATTGCACAGAGCAGACCAAGGTTATAGTGGTGTACAACTGCAGGACTCGGCAATTGTTTTGCTTGCTGCTCCCTGCAAGCAGGCGTGTTAGGATAAAAAAAACTGCTCTTGGACTTTCATGGACATGTGCTGCGCTTGCAGCGACACAAACACACTTGGCAAGACCAGGGAAAAAGAAACAAAGCAGAGCATGCATTGTAGACAGCATGCAGCATAGTCAGAGAGTCTCTGACAGCGGTTGACCACATGCAGTTGCAGATTACCGACATGCTGGAACTGTATATATACGTACATGCAAAAAAACATGCATGTGGCTTCGCTGGGAAATCGTTGAGTAACAGTCCATCACAGGGCCATCGAACAACGGCTACCACTTCTACTGAGGTTGCGACTCACCATCTCCCGTGCTCCCGCTAGCCAGCTCAGAACACAGATAGCCACATGCTACCACGATCCAGAGCAGTAAGCGCCTCGGCTGCCACCGCAGTCCACCGTCCATTGCCGAGTGAACGTCGGCGTGCTCGTACCGTGCAACGGAAGAACAGGTATCCTCCTCCGATTTCTCGCCAGAGAAACTGAAGGATCCAGGCCTCGCGTGTGTAAAAAAACACACCTGGCTACCAAATACACACACACTGTACGGAACTGGAGTCTTTGATCTTCCACCGCACACTCCTCCTACTTTACCCCATGTGTTGGGGGTGTGGTGGCCACGCCCATTGTGTTACCACGGCAACGAGGGCGCTCTAATTGGAAAACACCCGTCTCTCTCTAGCTCTCCCCTCGCTCATCGCCGGTTCAGCCATTGGGATCACACCGTGACCACCTCTGCGTATGTTCTCCACGTCGGTTTACTGGCTGTTCAATGCAAGCTGGCTCCATAGCTTCCTCTGTCCTCGCCCTCTATCACCACCAAGTCTTTCTACTATCCTCCTTCCTTACCCTCTGCACTACACCCTCGGTCTGGTCATGTCGGTGACGGTAGTTGGTAGAAGCAGTGGTTCACTCTCCGGAGCCCTACAGAGTCCTCTGTCCCACAGCGAGCCATACGGCACTGACCATCCTCTCGTCACACATCACTCTCGAGTCAACAAGACACGGAGAGTCTCCACCAGGGGTGGTGGAGGAGGAGGGAGTAATGCTATTGGAAGGAAGACTACTACCCCTGTTCACATAAGTAACAGCTCAGTCAATAGGAGACAGAGAAGGAAAAAGAAGTCTAAGTGTCAAGGAGAACATGACTACAGTGGGAGAAAGACTGGAACTAAAAGAGGTAGTGGAGAGGTGAAAGTTAATCATACCCTGACTCCAAACACCTGTACAACTAAAGTTTCACATGTGTACTCTCAGCAGCGACGCTCCTCGTCTAGTTTACTGCCACCAGTCGAGGCTGAGTCCCCGCAGACCGCCAAGAGAACCCCTGTAAAACCTAAACCGGTGAGGAGGAGCAAGACGGTGGTGAAAGAAGGAGTGGAGAGAGTCAGGGGAGCATGGCTGGGAGAGGGCTGTGGCTCCGTCATAAAGTCCCTCCCAGCTGGAACAAGGAAGGTCTCCTGTGGACTCTCTAGCAGAACTAGCAGGGATGTGGTCTTGCTCTCAGAGACGGAGAGTGTGTCCTCCACTCCCTCGTCTCTCTTCACCTCCTCCTCGTCCTCCTCAACTGTCCGTAGTAACACTAGAACCACTTTAGCTTCTACCGACATTGCTAGGTTCTCTCGCTGGACTCACAACAGCAATTCTTCAAAACCCCTCCCAGTGGCTTGGAAAAAGATCCACGCGGGTTCGTCGGCTAGCTGGGGGTGTGGTCGAGGAAGAGGAGGTGGAGGAGGGAAGGGGGAGTTGGAGCTGAAGGATGTAGCAGCCGGGCTTGGCCGGATGAGCTTCAGACATGTCATTGTCATGTCTGGTGCTGGCATCAGCACTCCAAGTGGGATACCTGACTTCAGGTACTGTATACAAATTTCTGCGTGGGACGGGACTTTAAGTTTGAGTTGGGCTAGCTCTCTCTCTCTCTCTCTCTCTCTCTTGATCTCTTTGGTTAGGAAGGAAGCCAGGCAGATAGAGATTAAAAGGGTGAGAGAAGGGTTGGCGTAAGAAGGAGGATGAAAACCTGCCCTGCTGTCCTGCTCTAGCTAAAACCCTGGTTAGGTGTGGGATACTCCATGTGCAATTGAACAGGCAATAATAATTAACTGTGAAATTCTACCTTGCTCTATGTTGCATACTCGTAGTGAAAGCATGCAGTGAGGCATAGAACAAGATAGTCTTCTAATATGCTCACATTATAAGGCTGTGCATCATTATCTATGTACAATGTATGAATGTGCGTACATTTCAAGGACCCCAGGGAGTGGTCTGTACGACAATCTCCAGAAGTATCAACTCCCTGAGCCCTCGGCTATTTTTGAGACTGCATACTTCCACCGGAACCCGCGGCCATTCTTCAGCCTGGCCAAGGAGTTGTACCCAGGCCGCTACTGCCCCAGTCTGGCCCACTGCTTCGTGAGACTGCTCCAGGACAAGGGAGTGCTCCTCAGGAGCTACACCCAGAACATTGACGGACTTGAGAGATGTGAGGCAACTAAACACACATTTGATCACTATACAGCTTTCCAGTTACATGTATAGTCAAGAAAATTTGCCCCCTCACTCACTACGAAGTGTATGCAGTGCAAGAATCCTGTTTAGAGTGGTCAGTATAATGAGGTATTGAGAGACGTGATGAAGCACCTCGACTACATGACTTTATTTTCCTTTGGGCTTTTATAATGTACTGCACAAAAAGTGGCAACTTGCAAGTCGTGATTGTTCTGGTATTGCCAAATCTGTTGTGTGCAGTGGCAGGGGTGGATGGAGGGAGGCTGGTAGAGGCTCACGGGTCCTTCTCTACTGCCTCCTGCACTCGCTGCCACAGCAAACAAGACCCTCAGGATGTCAAGGTTCATACTGCAACAAGCATTTTCGGCAGGCAAACATAAGAGTTGCTGGTGCACGCATTGTGAAAATTTCAGTTACATGTGTGTGCATGCATGTGTATTTAGAATCACATGGGAAATTTACGGCAAAGGTGGCTAAGTTATAGAAGTGCGCACAATTAGGCTTGCTTCCCTCACCGTTATGTCGCTCAATGATGTGTGGAGCTTTACTCTCTCCACCTGCATTGCTGTGTATATACAGGCGGCGATATTCGGTGACCAGATACCCAAGTGCAAGCACAAGTATTGCAATGTAAGTGACTCCTTTGTGAATGCACGAGTGGTATTAGTGGTGTATTATCACAACAGGGAGTTGTGAAGCCCGACATTGTGTTCTTTGGTGAAGATCTCCCACAGCGGTTCCACTCACTCCAGCTAAGAGACTTCTCAAAGTGTGATCTCTTAGTCATCATGGGAACTTCTCTAGAGGTAGACATATTGTACATACGTCCATGCAACTAGTGACATTCACTCAAACTGCTGTATGGCAGAATGTGAAGACAAGTTTATGTCTGAGAGTTGCTTCGGTGATGGATTCCCAGTATATACCCAGGCCCTAGTTATGCTGACGTTGAAGTTATCATTCAGTTTACACTGCCACGCAACTCTCACATTTGTATAATGTACAGCGTCCCAAGGTTCCCCTACAATAGTACAAGAGACAGAGTGTTGGGCTGGATATACACAACAAACTATTTTTTTGCAAAACTTTAAAAAAAGCTGCTTATAGTCCATGAAAATTTGTGCCTTGGACAAATTTGTAGCTGTACATCATACATTTACAGTTGTGAAAATAGTCACTGTCGAGTCCAATACTTTAAATGTGACACAGACCCCTCTGACAGAGATTGTGTGTGTGTGTGTGTGTGTTGTGGCAGGTGGAGCCGTTTGCCAGTCTGGTGACTCTGTCGCGACACGCCGTACCACGACTCCTGCTGAACAGGGAGCTGGTCGGTCCGTTCCGGTCCCAGCGGTGTCCCCGGCTCACGGACGTGGCAGTGTGTAGGGACGTGGAGGAGAGCGTGAGACAACTGGCAGCGGGGGCTGGCTGGGGAGACTGTCTACAACACATCCATAAAGAAGTCACTAGAATCAATACTGGAGGTATATAGTGTATATAGAGTGTTTATCTCGATGGCCTTGTTCCACTCCCACTTCTGATGTGTATCACCTTACATATGATGGTCATATGTATGTGCATGTCGAGGGGGAGGAGCTTGGAAATGAGGCTAGTAGAATACTGGAAGTGACATCATTGAACCCTCTTCCTTTATCACTGTAATTATATAAGTACTATAATAGTAGTGGTACCTATATACACTTAGCGCCATTGATTTTCCCTCTGCTCAGCAGCTGATCCAGAGCCAGGTGCAGCCAGTACTGACTCCAGATCTGCTGACAGTGGGTGCTCCCAGCTCACTTCAGCCATGGAACAGCTGAATCTTGAAGACACCCGGACCTCCTCATCCTCCTCCTCTTCCTCCTCTACCTCATCCTCCTCCTCAATTTCCACTGACTCTTCCTCAACAGATTGAGCTTCGTCATTGATTTAGTCAACTTTTATAAACCAAACATTTCAGATCTTTTTAAACTATTGGATGTGGTCTGATGGATAATGACCCACAGGCATGATTGTGAGGTCAATGGTTCAATCCTTGATGTCTGTCTAATGATGTAGTATGACTGTTGGTTTTAGAGAAACCTTTTTCATGACTTGTCGTGGCCAGCCCTAGTGGCTAAAGTGGTAGAAACAAGGGGACGGTCAGCATATGACAAGAGAAGTGTAGGGCTGGCCATTTTTTCAACCTTATAAGATTTTTGCCTTAATAATCCATGGATAATTATGACGTGGTGTTAGTCTTGCTCTCCGAGGTCATGTTTGCAGAACAAAAATATGGTGATGGGGCTGGGTATAGGAGGGGCTTGTCAGTCTAGTGGTCTTTGTACGATTATAAGTGAACAATGCATTCTCCTTCCATTTCTAATCTGCCTAAACCCAGATGTGTGCTTTGCTGCATGCACCACAACGACACTCAATGGAGAGGAATCTGTATATAGCAGTTTGAGACAAACTTTCTTTATAACTCCCTGTGTTGTGTGCCTTTGTAGGGCATTATTAAAAAAACTGTTTCTCTTTGATATTATTTTGTTGCACATTATTGTGAAGAGAAGTAGTCTGTACACAAAAGTCCCCTACATTTTCCTAAAGTCAGGTATACCTTGACGTCACATTGCAATACATTGTGAAAAGCTGTGCAGTTTAAATCCCTAGGCAATAAAGTGCTTCATTGCTTACCAATCGCACACCCAGCTTACCTAGGGCCGGTGCAGCTTTTTCCAGGTGCACTCTGAGACTGTTGAGTCTTTGCTCAAGTTCGTCTTGTGTACCATAATAATGGTATATACTTTTCCTTGTACATGTGAGTAGAGTGGTCATGGGGCATGCATGAACAGTCTATTATTCCATGCACTGCTACACACTATATACTTGCAAACAGTATTTGAGCAATCTATGAAAATTATGATAGATGTAGTGCCGACAGTTATCTGAGGGATGACATGTGAGTGAAATTCAGTCTTGAACATGTACTCACGTAGTTACATCTTAGAAAGAAAATCAACTGCTACTTTTTGAAAACTCTCTCCTGTCTCTTGGAGAAGTTAATAAACACCTGCAGGTATTACAAATTGTATGTCACATCAGTGGCCTAGCACAAACTAGGCACTCGTGCCCTATCAGTTTTTCAACCCATTTTGGTGAGTGAACGGGAGCATTTTTGGCGTGTGCGCATTTAGAATCACATGAAGTGCAGTGCCCATCACATGCAATAATCCTGCATTGTGAGTTCTAGGTAGGCTTGCTTTGCTCGTTAATGACACTCAATGGGATATCAGGTGGTCTTGTTCATAGTCTTCGATTACCTCACAATTAATGCCCACTATAATTATTAATAAGTCAGATCACAGCTATCTGTAACATTGTCAACGGAACTCAGACAGCAATACAATACCATGTCACACCTCCTCTGCTGTCAGAGACCCCCCTGGCTTCTTAGTGAGCGGGCCTACGCACATGTGACAGAATTCCTGCACTGCTGCACAAGGCGCTTGGTATACGTATATGTATACTGGTTCATTTATGCTTTTATCTGCTGCCTCTATCTAATACTCCTTTATCTAATCTCCCCTTCACCTAACATTAACTGTGCTCTATTTATAGTATGCTGTGTCGAACAAGCTCACAAAAACCACCCTTTGGATTATGCAGCTCATGGTTACCTGCTCCAGGGTGATTTGACTGATGCTGTAGTCAATGATGCCCAGTCTCTCCTTGTTCTCTTCAATATCGTTTGAACACTGCTGCCCAACTCACACTACTCAGTGGCAGACGGTATGACACAAAGCCCTGTACAGTGGGAAATAACCACTTTGACACTCATTCACTTCCACTCCAATAGCACACCCAACTTGTCCAACAGACCTGGTGTTCCTCCAGGAGACTAGCTCCTCTGTATCTCTGACTGAGAAATGACTGAATGGACGTGGTGTCAAAGGGATCAACTGGCTCTTCAGGTGTCTCCTCTACCACTGAGAGCTGCCTGCTCACAAACCTCTGAAAAGACCTCAACTGCCTATAATATGCAAGAACGAAAACAGTAAATGTGACCAAGCTACCTTCTAATGATCAAGAGGGTGATAAGGCTAAGAAGCACAGTACACCATATCATATTAATGATTAAGCGGTAAGAAACACGTCAGTGAGGGTGCATCACATCACCTCTTAACTGGACTTGAAGGAGGGTCATCATTGCCAGTGGCAGAGGCTGGGGCGCTGGTGAGTCTCTCAACTCTCTTGTGCTGATGTGGACTCTGAGACGAGGAAATGTTGTTGTCATCAGGGGTTGTTTGACTTTCGTCTGAAGAATGAAATCTATTTATGCCTCTCCTCGGGAGCCTGGAAATCCTTGAGATAATTCCTGCAGGAGAACGGGGGGAAGGTGGCTCCTTCATCTTTGGCTGTAGCTCTATCTTGGCCTGTAGCACCACTCCTTGTCCGTATCTGAAGAGAATTGTTTAACCACGCCGCTGTTACACAGATGGCATCTACACTCACTTGTTCTTGACGTGTTGGATGCTCCCGAGACATCTAAACTGTCCGTTCACGAGAATGGCAATTCGAGAGCACAGTGCCTCACACTCCTCCATACTAAGTATACGTGTATCGAGCTAAAGGGGTAGTGTACTGGGTATGTGGTGACAGCTCACCTGTGTGAGGTCAGGATGATGCTCTGACCATTCTTGGCAACTCCAGCAAGTACCTTCCAGAGAAAGTGGCGTGTGGCAGTGTCCATTCCTGTCGTCGGTTCATCCTAATAGTGTGCAAATGCATGATGTTATAACTCGGACAATCCAAATGCAAAGATGTACTACTACAGCTGTATCATTCGTTGGAATGCACTAATACTAGATATTATGAAGGTCTTCTACAAACACGTTACCATAGAATAGAACCAAAACCATTTGCTTTGCAGCAATTCGGACTGCAAGGATTTTGCAAATCTACACTCACCAGAAAAACCACTGCTGGATTGCCCACGAGAGCAATTCCTGTACTCAGTTTCCTCTTGTTCCCACCACTGCAAGAAGAAGCAGCAACCAATGATTATAGCCTTCCTACATGAGTCTATATGTTCCCACTGCTGTATACCTGTACTTGCCGCAGAGTTTATCAGCATGCTGGACGAGGTCAACTCTTCTGATCTCAGATTCTACTGTGGCCCTCACTGCACTCTCTGGTATTCCTCTGAGTCTGGCAAAGACTGTCAGGAGCTCCCGGCCACTCAGTCTCTCCAGCAGAGCTCCAAACTGGGGACAGTAGCCAATGTGCTGCCGGACCTGGTGACAGGAGGAAGACGGATTTTCATGCATCACGGACAGTCTCACTTTTAAAGTACCATTCAGACGAAATATGAGGTAAAAAACAAAGATACACTTGGTATTAGCTACCTTTTGGAACTGAGTGATTACATCAAGACCTTTGATGGTGGCTGAACCACTGGTGGGGTTCAGGTCTCCTGTCAGCATACGAAATGTCGTTGTCTTACCAGCTCCTGCACACAAATACAACATGAAAAAACATGTTTATAGCATACTAGCTAAAAGAATAATATCAGAGGAAAAGAAAGAACCTCCCCCACCCAAGCATACAAAACACAGACAATAACATACCCAAGCATACAAAAACACAGACAATAACATATAAACAGAAAGAAAGAGGCAGGACCCTGGGTGCCCAGCCTTGTATGGCTATTGTGTAGACTGACATGTAACTAGTTTGCAGAAAGATATTGATTTACCATTGGTTCCCAGGAGACCAAAACACTCTCCTCTTGGGATGGCAAGTGTGAGTCCTTTGACAGCCACTTTCTTGGGCCTCAGTGTCAGTCCATCCAGATGACGAGGGTAGATCTGATGGAGTTAAATAGTAAATGGTTAGTGCTAAACATATAAAAGGCCCTTTGCAACAATACTTAACCTTGATAAGATTCTTGATTACGACAACATGCTCGTCAGTGATCTCTCCATTCTTCACTTTCTCTCTCTCTGTAGTCACATCAGAGTCCTAGCAAACAACGTAACTGGTGTCTAATCAGAACATTATTCAGATTCAAAAAATGGCGGTGCCCTATAAGACATTTGCACAATAATTAATACCTTGTGGTTGTTACCAGCTGCTACCAGGGTGGTGTCATCAGTAGTCCCATGTAAAAAAAGCAGTGCCTCCAACCGTGCCAGCTCTTACATGCTTACATACAACTCTGGATAACCTATAGGCCCTGGTCGTTTAACTAACACCATACCTCCTCTCTGTGAAGCAGCGGCAAGGCACGGAAAACACTGGCGGTGCAGAAGTCAGGGATGGGAGTCAGATTCTCAGTGAGGCTCTTAGTCTTGCGTCCTCTCAGTCTGCGTGTTAGTTTCTTCAGCAGAACTGGGTGCTGGACGCGCGCAGTCAGTATGTAAACAACGGCAGGGTCACAGGGCAAGGGAAATAATACTTGGAGAGAAGATTACCAACTCACCTCTAGGACCCAGAGTATGGCAAAGAAGATGACCGTCTCCACTAAAGCATACAATATGTTGAACCCAATCCCTGGCCTTTGGAAGGAGAATATACTCTCGACATACCTCAGCCTCTCATTAGATTCACAGGCTCTGCAAGCAAGAAACACTTGCTTGGTATATAACACTCAAGCAAGAAGAAGGAGACACAGGAATATCATTAATTGGAGATGACAGTACTTACAGCTGCGTCACAGTGTCTTCGGTGCACAATTCCCGTACGATGTAGTTCTGGTACACATCACTGATCCCAGCCAGCAACCTGCACAGTCATAATTATACTAGTGATGGTACTGCGGAAGATGCTATAGGAGTAATGTTTCACGATCCAACTCACCCAAATGTTGGGACAGTGAGGAATATGTAATGGAGTGTATCTTGAAGTGCAATATTTGTAATAGTGGCCAGTGACGCTCGTGCCACCTGTGTAATATGACATAACATCTTATTCAGAAGATTCATCATCAGCAGCATGCTTATGAGGGGGACTGAACAATCATTACATATATCTAGTCTTTGATGACCTAAAATAGTAGCACAAGCAACTCAAACGCATCAACAAGGAAGCTTTGCTGGTTGTAGAACACAAGGGCTCAAACCATTATTACATCACACAGCACTATATAGCAGTGGCTCTAGTCTGTCTACCTGGCTGGTTAGGAGAAAGAGAAGGAACACAAGAACAGCAAAGGCTGTAAGTCCATCGGTGAAGGCAAAGGAGAAGAGATAGACCAGAGGAATACCACTCACACAGCACACCACCTGGAATCATGGGGAGAGAGGTGGTGACTGGAGCACAGTGTGAGTGGTCCTCACCAGCAGGACAGCCACTGCAGCCAGGTTCTCTCCTGCAAACTCCTCCAGCTGAAAGGCAGCAAAGATGGCAACCACAACTGGGATGATGACCGCGCAAAGCAGGGCATCCATTGTCAGAATGGACGTCCAGTAGGTGGATGACCTGACACCACTGATGTGCTGGAGATGTTTCACCTGCGTTCAGAGAAACACTGCCAGTATCGCATCTCAGTCTCACTCTATAGTACATATATACTACAGTCAACATGTGGTTAGTTGTGCATGTACCTGAGAGTTTTTCTCATTGAGCAGAGGCAGTATGAAGAGAGAGAGGAGAAGGCTGAAGCCTCCCACCACAACCACTCCCAGAAGATAACCATTACCACTCTGTAAGAGGGCCTCCAGCTGCATGAGGGGTAGGCACAGGGGGAAAACATGTATATACTACAATCAGATTGCAGCCAACTTTAAACGCAAGCACAGTGAGAGTTGCAGATAGTTGCTGCTATATGCAGTGATGCTGAATTAGTTCGTAGTTGCAGTAATTCACCTGTCCCTCGTTGGATCTTGGTAGAGGGTGGTTGTTGACAGTGATAGAGATACCCTCTTCCCCAGTCAACTCCCTCAGCCACACGTTGTAGAAGACATTGAGCATGGCTGCTGACATATGCCACGGCTGCAGTGGTTCAATAATTATACAGCCTCAAAATGTGCTAATAATAATCTCAATAGCAGCCACGCAAACATTTTAAGGCAAGCTTCTTTATGCATATCTACGAGTACATAATACATACCTTGCCACTATACCAGACTGTGACAGAGGTCCTCAGGGTCTGCTCAGGGAAGAAGGCACTCACTGGTCTCTCTGCTGTGCTGTTCTGCCCACAACCCTCCTGGACACTGCCGTCATCACTCCCTAGACTGCTGGCATCAATGGTGGAACAGGACAGGGCCTGGAGGGCACCCAGACTGGACCCATCCACCCTCACACTGGCATTCAGAGGAGCCAGTACAGCCACCGGCGTTGCTGGCAGACCAGTACCGACCGGCAGCCCACTTCCCACACCACCCACCACAGTGGTCGTCAGGAGCGAGGAGCAGTCTGTGCTGTTGTACCACTCAAACGCTCCAGAAAGAACGTAGGACGTGTCTCCGCCAGTGGCAGACTCCGAGCACTGCTGGAGAGGGGCCACATAGCTCTCAGTGAATTCACTGGGACTGGAGCAGCCACAGGCACTGTAGACAGGCTCCTCTCGCCCTATGGTCAGTCCACCCATGACCCGTGTCTGGTAGTTGCTAAACCCCTCGGCATAGCGCAGGAGGAACTCTGCCACAAATGTGTTGTCACTATCCAGCCTCCCTGAGGCAGTTCCTCCAGTGACATCAGTCACTGACACCTTTGGAACTGCTGGGCACACTGTCTCAGAGCTGGACAGCTGGGTGAATGGGTTGGTACACGATGAATCACCTCTAAACCTACTTGTACAACACCTGGTAGAGGGATAGACCAGTCCAATAATTTTGCATTAGAAGAAAGGATTGAACTTACTCTAGACAGTTTTTGCAGTGCCTGTAGCCAAAGTTTGAGCCAGTACAAAGGTCGAGCTCATCCTAGAGAGTGTACGACACATAACACATTTGCCAAACTCTGGTACACATGTATATACTTACTGCAGATCGAAGAGCACAGTACTTGTCTAAGATCTGGTACCGGTAGTCGCAGCAGTCAGTTGCATTGGATGTGGACTGAACTGAGTCCATTATCTCTTCCACACCCGCTGTGATATTCAGGAACTCTGTGGCTCCCACATCTTGTGCCTCAAGAGACTAGTGGCGAAGAGAGAATATGGCAATGGATGAAGAGCAAGTGAGGATGACAACAAACACAACACTTATTACTCGAGACAGTTGTATATACCTCAAAATCAAAGGCACTTGCAAAGCCTCCAAACTCGGCCCAGAAGAGGATCTGATTGTCGGTATCGATGGCAGTGTTCTCCACGCTCAGTTCCCTGGCTGGGTCTGGTTCAGCAAAACTACTCAGGAGCAGGAAGAGGACCAGAGACAGGAGAGTGGCGACAATGGGCAGGAGGCACATGGCGATGAAGACTTGCCAGTAGCGAACCGTGTCCAGGGTCTTCTTCACCAGTAGGCCATAGTACTGCTGCCACCACAGACGAATGCCAACATTCTCACCCTCTGCACGCACGGAATGGGGTCATGCAGTGGGAATTGGTAACTACTCCATTTTGGTTCAAGAGAAGTTCACACGACTCACTGGACATGCTTACACACAAGTGGACACACCCTAGATTGTTGTAGTAAGTGTGGAGTAGAGTATGGCAGACCTGTAGGTGGTGGAGAGTGTTCAGCTGGCTCTACAGGTGGTCTATCACTGCTGGGTCTCAGACTTCCCTTCCTCTTGAGCCGGGACTCAATGTCCTCATCTGACTCATCCTTGACCTTCAGGAACACCTCCTCCATTGTGGTGACCGACACCCCAAATCCAGCAAGGCCCAGCTCATCTTTCCTTCCTGTTGTGGTATAGTCTTACAGTACTTTGAGTGCAACAAAGCCTGCCATTACTTTCTAACTCTTGGAAGAGAGTAGGAAAGGCGCTTGTTTCCCCGGCTGGTAGAATGAAAGCCAACTCTGCTCCAGCATCCACCACACACTTTGCCCCTCGGACGTGAGACTGCATCAGGCTGACCACTTCCACTACCTTCTCAGTAGTACTAGATGGAGTCTTCTCCATGACCATGTGGTAGCCAACCCCATACCTGCCAATGACCAACCATGCCTTAAAGCAAACTAAGTTATGCTCCAACAATACTTCGACGTTCATAATGAAAGTATTCTCGACTACATTAGCAGTTCTAGTCTACAGGGTGATGGTAATGACATTACCTGCTCTTGAGAAAGAGGGAGGAGCCAGAGCAGCGTAGTTTGCCAGCAGCCATGATAGCTATCCGGTCACCAAGAACATCAGCCTCATCCCTGTTCACAGCAAATCACTCAATAAACCCCTTATCATGCAAAAACTGACCGTGCAAGAATAGCTTACATGAAATGAGTGCTGAAGAGTATGGTCCTGTCTTTCTTGTGCTTAATGAGGAGATTCCAGGTGGCCCTCCTGGCATAGGGGTCCATCCCAGAAGTCGGCTCATCCAGCACCACAAACTTGGGACCACCAATCAGAGCAATACACACACTGGTGGAGAGAGAAATCTCTTACACCAAGCACTAGTCAAAGAGCAAAAGACTCGGCATGAGGAGAGTTGTTTACCTCAGCTTCCTCTTCTGTCCACCAGAGAGCTGACTGGAGGGAGTGTCCTTCTTCTCCAACAGGTCAATGTCGTCCAGAATCTCTGAGATCTGCCGATTGACTTCTTTCCAACTCAATCCCTACACGCAGTGTCATTCACATCTATACAGTGTCAATAGTGGGTGGGTTCACCTTGACGATTCCAGCAAATCTCAGGTGTTCAACAACCGTGAGTCTCCCGTGGAGAACGTCATGTTGTGGACAGATAGACATGCTCTTACGGATCTGCTCCATGTCTTTACGAATGTCAAATCCTCCGATAATGGCAGTACCATGGGTTGGAGTATACAGGCCTGAGAAAATACATTTCAACTACTGCATAGTGGGATTTAGTAACGTGGATATGCACCCATGTTGACATACCATGCAGTTTCTTTTGTTCTCTATTTTCCTAGTTTGAAACTAAGAAACCAACACGCCTTTAGCCTGTTACACAAACTAAGTAAAAATGTTGTTATGATCTGCATTTCTATCCTGGTCCTCACCGGTGAGGATGGACATGGTGGTAGTCTTCCCAGCCCCATTGTGTCCCAGTAGAGCCGTGATCTGTCCAACATGAAGGTTGAGACTCAGGCTGTCAACTGCCACCTCCCTGCTCTGGTGACCTCTGGACTTGAGACCCAACCTCTCAGGGATGCTCTGTGGGGAAAAAAACTTGTAGTTGTCACCACTCTGGTCAATGTGAGTCATACTACCAACATCCTGTTGCATCATACCTTTATTATACTAAAAAGTAAGGTGGCAGTCATAACTTATGTGGTATTGTCACTATGGAGCCTAATTGACACACCATTAAGGTCCCTGACTCATACATGCACATTACTGTGGCTCGATATTCAGAGACTCTTCATGGGTCGTGGTCGTGGTCCTCACATATAGTGAGAGAACTTCCTGTACACTTGTTTAGCTTCTTAGGACTTAGGGTTTGTATGTAACAAAGTCATCAATCTGCTCACCTTGTTGTAGATCTTTGTGAGATTCTTGATGCAAACACCAACTTCCAAATTCTTTGGCTCTGCTTCATGCTCAGTACCTCTTAACTGCTTCATCTCCATCTCATCATCGGACTGTAGGGATATAATATGAATGGCAGTTAAATGATGTCATTTTGATCACTGACTTGTTGATTTATGACAAATTAGCATAGCTCATGTTGCATCCACAATAAAACTTACACGTACCTTATTCTTACCTTATTCTTGGCCACATTTCTTGGTCTTCCAAGCCAGTAGGAGGGGAGGAAAGGGAAGTAGAGTGGTTTTGCTATCCCATACTTGCCCGGTTTGATACCATCAATGTACCTGCAGTAGAAGTGTACCATCTTATAGCGTGTAGCTTATCCACCGGTGTTTGCATAAGGACAATCCGACAGAGAGAGAGAGAGGAAGACAGACAGACAGACAGACAGACAGACAGAGAGAGAGAGAGAGAGAGAGAGAGAGAGAGAGAGACGAGAGAGAGAGAGAGAGAGAGAGAGAGAGAGAGAGGAGAGAGAGAGAGAGAGAGAGGAGAGAGAGAGAGAGAGAGAGAGAGAGAGGAAGACAGCCAAGAGGAGACGCAAACAGTCCCACACACACAAACAAGAAGGGCATGATAAAAAGTACCATGCAATGATCATGTAGAGAAAGATGCCGATGGCTAGCATGATGCAGACATGACCAAGGTGGAGGTTCTCATCAGTGGAGGGGAGAGTGCTGATTGTGTCCCACTGAACCCCAGGTCCTGCCAGCTCAGCTGTGAACATCACCTGGAGCCCTAGACTCATCGCCGAATTGGAGAGGAGACTGAATCCAAGCTTGTCCCTCCTGCTCAGATTTGAATACAAAAGAAGAGGAACACGAAGATATAATGCATAGACCTACGTAACACGAGGTAACCCTGCCCTAACACGAGGTAACACGAGGTAACCACCCTAACATGAGGTAACTGCCTTAACATAAATGTGCACTTTCAGATTATATCACAAACTGGAGCTCACAGGGTAAGAGTCTCATATATCTCAGGATAGAATATGTATGAGTAGGGCATGTAGTTGATGAAGAAGAGGACAAATCCTCCCAGTAGTGCAGCCTGTCCCGTGTCAAACAGAACACTGAGGAGAGAGAGAGGGGATATCAGAGGATTGGTAAACGCTCTATGTAGGGATGGCTCGAGTGAAATCTCACGTGATCTGTCTACAAAACGGCTCCAAACTCGGCGAGAATGGCCACAAAGCCTTCAAAACCAAGCCAAATCACTGACAGGCCCATATTTATCTTCTGATATTCTCAAAAGTATCGTACTGCCTCTAACTCTAGTATATATAGGTTGGTGTAGTGGTGAGCTAACTGCAACCTGATGCGGGAAGAGACATGTGTTTGTGCATGCATGTGTACGTGCGTGTTTGTGTGTTTGTATCTGTGTATGTTGTGTGTGCGTGTGCGTGTGTGCGGATATATAACCTGACAAGAAAAGAGAAGGAGACAATTGATGCTGAAAACAGAACCATGAACATCAGAAGAACTCCGAAATCAGTTTGTGGAAAAATGTCTCCATACTGTTGAACAGATAACAGTTGTCATCACAGTTTGATAGTGGATGAATCACAAGGTGTATATATAGCCACCTTTAGAATGGGAGTGATTGTGAGAGAGATGAAGGAGAGAAACAGGAACTGCTTGATGTACCAGGAAGTCCACAGGACCCACTGTTTGAGGCCAGAAATGAGCAGTAGCTCTCGCACTCGAATCTCCTTCTCTAAAACCAGCTCCTACAGTGGGGAGAATCCAAAAACATGACAGTGACTCAGCTTTTAGAGCCATCTTAAATGGGTACACACCTTGCAGAAGACGGCAGCTGGGTAGAGGAAGCCGAGGACGACAAAGAAGGCGATTTGACCGACAATGCCTCCCAGTGCGCCACTGGAGGTGAATGCTGGGATTGGGATCTGCCTCACAGAGACAGACACATCCCTCAGCTTCCGGCCTGACCTCCACTCTATTATCGCCTCCTCCACCACCTTCTGCAGATGGAGGAACCCCTCCTGCAGGTAGGGGCTGGGCAAAATACAAACCACATTAATTCACAATACAAGGCACATGGAATGTGCGGTTCAAATTCAGCACCACAAGAAAGTCAGGTTAATTAAAAGCTCGCCAGAGAAAAAAGTTACTGCCGACACTTTTATGTGTGTTGTGAGTTTGTTAGCAATCAGGAAATGTTCAGGAGTTTTGGTTTAGAGCTTAATGCCTGTGTTTGGCCTTGGATAGAGCTAGTTCTTTATCTTTCTCTATCATGGCCTAAGAAATGTAATTACTTGGCATCAGGTGTTGGTTCCTGCACAGGCACTAGTCTTGGCTCTCTGGTGATGGTCTCCCAGCTCCCTAACTGGCCCACCTCGTGCCTCAGTCTCAGAGTGAACTCCAGGTCACTGGACTCAAGATCTTCAAACACAATCCCTTCATTTGAGAAACAAAAAAAACAGAGTATAAGCATTCAAGATGGCAGTGATAGAGAGAGAGAGAGCATACTGAGACAACTGTGCATGGTGGCAGAGGCAAGACAACGTAATCCTCACCAGCTCCTCCAAGGAGACAGCCGGTCTGGGTGTCCACCTGTATCCCACTGATGGTGGTGGAGAGAGTGAGGGGAGGCTGGACAGGACCAGAGTCCACCAGAGATGACTCTAGCTCTGACTCACTCTCCACACCCACCACAGAGGCAAGCGGCAGCTCTCGCTTCAGTATCTCGGCCACTGCATCTGTGTACAGCACAATTATACCAACAAGGAATGCCTTAAACTTCCAACCACTGTGCAATGGTATATACAGTGGGTCCCACTTAATATCATACCGTTTAATAAAATATCCCGTTTATAATTACACAAACTTGAAATCCAAAACCATTTCCTATGCTTTCCCATACATTCTACTCTGCTTTATAGAATACGGATAATGTCATATCCCGCCTATTACCATAGGTTTTTGCTCGCATATTATTATTGTCATTATTGTGCATGCTTAATTAGGCATTCTACAACCTTGGGCTGGGTCACAGTATACATTGGTAGCTTTACACAGTATACACACCCGCATTGTAGAATATCCCGCATATTTTATGGATGCACCGTGGGTATGATATTAACCCGGGACCCACTGTGTTAGGCTCCAACCACTGTGCAATGGTATTAGTTAATGAATTCCTTAACTCTGCTAGCTACATAATGTTGTGTGATATTAATTGAAACAGAGCCTAGCAGACATGGCCTGGAGACTGGGTAGGTTCTCAAACAGATGTTGCATAATAAGTACCACTGTTGTTGGTGACTGGGGTATAATAGAAGATAGTGTAGGGGACACTGGGCTGAGAGATGGTCAGTGGATCATCATCATACGTGGAGAAGCACACTTCCTCTGATGTCAACTGTCCCACTCTATATTGGAGGAACAGTGAAATGTATAGGAAGGGAATGTGCACACTTCTTCGTGATTGCGATTACAGTGATCAACATGGGGGGGGCGCCTTCTACGCGACTAAGTGCGCATGCGTTGGACATGCGTGCCGCGAATGCCAGGGGGCTGAGCAGACCGGCGGCGTTTCGGTAGCAGGGTGCTCGCGGTAAGCTGTTAGTTAGCGAGTTACGGACACGTATGCGAGTGACCGACTGTCACTTCTCCTCCAATAAAACTCTAACGCCGCGGGCTACCAAGAGATCTGTGTGTTTGTAAACTCCGCATCAGCCTGAGCTCAGTCCGCACCTGAACTCCGGCGTTAGCTAGAGTAATACCTGAGAGCGACCAGTATTCCGACCAGTAGTATCGGAGTAATCAGTTCGACTGCAGTGCCAACTGGTCTCCTAATCTGTAGAGAGAGTGAGAAGAGCGAGTCTCGCAGTTGGCCGACGGCCACAGCCCGACGTAGCTACCTGGAGAACAAAGTTCTTCCAGAGCATCAGTAGCAGAGCTTTCCCGCTCTGCGCCATATCCGGTCGGTGCTGGCGCGTTGAACCAACTTTTGGAAGTGAAAGCGCGCACTTCCGTGATCCGCCTATATAGCCATCTATGGCTGGTGTGGTATAATTATACTACGTAGCTATTTCCTGAACCATTTCCGGAGCCATTCCGGAGCCCATTCCGGAGCCCATTCCGGAGCCAGTTCCGGCGAAGGACCGCTTGCCTTGTTATCATTTAGGATTGCCATAATAAGAACAAGCTATGAACAAGCTATGAACAAGCTATGAACACTGTGGGTTACGAACAATCGATAATGCTTACCAGCAGGTTTCGTCACTAAAATCTAGTGTTAAAGAACTTATAGAAGATAGAACATACAGGATGAACGTAGTCTGAAGCGTTCACTATAGTCTATGGCAGATAGAACATTCCCAGCTAGAAACGACGAAGTACGGGTATAGTCACGTCAACGCTACTCAGCAACACTGGGTCAACAACTGGAGACGACTGATCCATCCAGAACGAAAGCCAGAAGATGTCGCGCGCCCGCTAGCGCTTTCGGGGTGGTTGCAAGCAGAGAGAGGGCGGCGGCGCGCTTTCTCGCTTGGGTGCGTGCGGGTAAAGCCGGTCGGGTTGCCCACATACACGGAAGCATCATAACGATGTCGTAATGCTTGTGGTTTACGTGACGCACTCGTGGACAAGAGCTAGGGAAAAGAGATATATTGACGATAATGATGATGAATCAAAGCAGCTTGTTGTACCCATTCATGTGCCAGAAAAATTGCAATTGTGTGACTGTATCCTAGCAGGAGAGAGTTCTACCACAGAACATAATTAATCGTGGGCCTCACTGACAAACCGAGATGTAAGCCACAGACACTGAAGCCACATGCACAATCTTGTGTATGCAGTTTGATCTCCAAATCAGCAGCCTGCGTGTAGGCAGAGTAAAGTTCATAGGCTATAATACATACACAATCATGTGTCCAGTACCATGCCAGTGAATTAGCCATTATCTTGGTCTAGATGTAGCTAGTCTGACAGTATACTGCCAGTATTTGAGCAACATTATATGCCTACCTTTGTAGCTACCATTACACTTGCCACCTAGGTCATGGTTTGTCTCAAACTCAAACTAGTATGAATCAGGGGGTTAATACAAGGCAAGTGTGTATCAACACCGTGGACAACACTATTCATGGGTGGGACTCTTCTCTAGACACCACCACCAGTAGTCTTGTAGAATGCCTAATTACGCATGCGCAATAATGGGGATAATTTATTGCTATGGTAATAGGCGGAATATGACATCCGATTCTATAAAACGGGAAAGCATAGGAAATGGTTTTGGATGTCAGGTTTGTATGGTAATAAACATATTATTTTTATTAAGTGGGACCCACACTGTAATAAACGTAGCGTGAAAGCCAACCTTGTCCTTCATCCACCCTGCAGTCACTCCACACGAAGGAGCCTCTTAGCCTTGTTCCTCGTTATATAAGGTCTTACAATCAGGACATGGCATGCAAGATTTTCCCATAAACTGCTGCATTTTACAAGTAGGAAACAAGAAGTAGTGTTCAAACCGTAGTTCCCATGAAAATCATAATTCTATTCATCCATTTTGCATTATTCAATAGAATGAATAATTTTTCACACTGCTGACACTACAAAGCATGTTATTGTTATTTAGCCACTCCTACATGATGACGAGTTATTAACGGACTGTCCCAGGGCAAGTCCCGTTAAGCATGCAAACAGCTCACAGTGCAAGAAGGCCATGGCTACACTGTGCTTACTGGCTCCATTGCTTCTGACCAATCAGTTGCTGGTTTCCACCACTCCCTCGACCAGCAGTACCGCAGAAGCTCAAGCCAAGTGGGGTGATAAGGGAAATGGAGACCAAGATGGAAAGGAAAGTGAGTTAATCCGCAGTCATGTTTGTTATGACAGCAAATTCAAACCATCTGCAGATTTAGCCCATGAAACAGAAGTTCTGACAAAAAGATACTTGGCTGACATTTCTTCCACCATCCACACCCCTGTATCTGAGGACGACAACATTGCCAAAGTCACAGTTAACATTTTCTTTGCATATCAGAGTGGGAATATCAACGATCATGCTGTTGGTTTGAAAGTAGCACATTACCATGGATGTAGAAATGGGATCTGCACTGTTAGTGTACCTCGAATTGAACTTGCTCTGTTAGTCCTTACTCTGTTTGCTAGTTTTATTGGAAGAGCTAGAGAAGGTGCAGCAATTGCTTTGCTGATTGCATGGATTGTTGAGTATTGGATATACATGCTTGTGTTCTTCATACTTTGCTGGATATCTATAATTATTAACTTTCTCCCCAAATACATTGCCATTGGCTCGCTCTGTTAATTTCACTTGGACATGAACTTGCATTGACATGACTCCACCCGGCTGAATTCACACACAGCGCTATGGCTTACAAGTCACACTCCATTACAAAAGCACAACTCTGCCCTTAAGTTAGGTTTAAATTTGCGGATTCCATCATAAAGCCACACCACTGGCTGCTGTGTGGCATAGTTGAAGTTTGGCCTTGGCTTGTGACGTTATCATGCGGCTCCCTAGCATAGATCACATGAAACATGAAAAAATCATTAGGACAGGCAAGAGTCCCCCATCCCATACAGTTATAATATCTCAGTGACAAGTTTTGAGTTAGTGCTTTTCCTACAATGAGTTCTGGCAGCTTTCCATGTTTTTCTGCTTGCTTCTGCATTTAAGATACACCATAGCTTTTCAGCACATACACAGTCTACAACAAGTGCAGCGTACCATGTTCAATATCCACCAGTCTAGCAAGACACTGCAACTCCACAACATTCTCCAAGGCCCACACAGTCAGGAAATAGACCTTCTTACTGCCCATCTTCAACAATTTTATGTCTTTCTTGGACTCTGCACATCAGACAGTGAACAACAGTGGCACGAATACATTATTCATTGCACCTAAAGTGCAAACCCTCAAAAGGGACTCTCTATACAGTGCAGTAATACACATGCTGAGCCGTTTATGGCATGTCACTCCACTGACACGTGTCAGTTTTTTTGGCTCTGCACATGTAGCTATAGGCTAACTTCACCAGAGAGTAGCATAAATGTCCTCTCAGTGTGCACTAAAAAACTGCTTGAGGTATATAAGCTTTTGCTAATTAGCACGTACTGACTATGGAGGTGTAGGCACTTCACATGTACCCACCCTTAACGGAGTGGAGTTCATCGGCAGCAGATGAGAGGAGACGTTGGAGGTCTGACAAGGCATGGGGGGCAGAGCAGCGAGACAGTGGCCGTGGACTGCAGAGGATGAGGCTGACATCCTCTAGCACCGAGACAGCCACCTCACCACTCCTGGCCAGCTCCTTACTCTGGCATAAAATAACACAGTGCACATCCCATTGGCCTCTCAATTACAGATTACAGGTCAAAGAGGTTTTTTGTGTGGCTATTTTTATGAGTGTACTGTTGAAAAATGCAAATGCCTCTCTGTGAGACAATATATAGTCGGCGTTATGTTCGAAAATGAAAGGCACTAAAGTGAACCATCAGCACATTAAAATTAACTTTATACTCAGTTTGGAGTTGGGCTTCTTTTGGGCGTTGGGCGACAGACAGACAGACAAAGTATTGCAACCCTTACTGCACATGCGAACTTAGGGTTAAAATTTATCAGTATTTGTTTCGTGGTACAATAAATCTGTTGTCCGATTAATAAATGTATTGCAATGTAAAAACACCAAAACTGCACATTAAAGAGGCTTCCTGCACGTAAAATATATTTATGTACCATTTATCCTGGGAGTTTATAAGGGATGTGGCAGTATATAAGGGCTAAATTTAGAACTGTTACTAAAGATGGAACAACACAATAGGGACACAGTGAAAAAATACAATCAAGTTCTGTTTTAGTAAAATATCTAAATTTAGGCCTTATATACTGCCACATTCCCTTTAAGGCAAAAACCATGAATAAAAATGGGCTAGACAGACGTCTAACGGACACAGTGCAATGCCCAACTATACGCTACCCTTTGAGAAACATGGGTCAGTGGTAGATTCATGGGTAAGGGGAGGAACCAGAGCTGTTCCCAGCCAATGCTCTGGACCACTTGTCAGTTTCAGGGATTTGAACCCTTGTGGCCCAGCACAGTGTGCAATTGCCGTGGACACCAAATTCTTCCTGCACCTTCGAAAGTACAAAGCAGTACATGTCCATGCACGTGATTTCTCCTCAGCGTGGCTTCCTTTGAGCCGCCTGCCTTATGACAAGGTCACGAAACAATCCACTCTAACATCCATAGTGTACAGAGTGCACAGCACCAATGGGTGAGCACTGCACAATTCAGTGCAATCCCTCAGTAGCCAATTTACCAAATTATTTCCCAGAGTATATACCGGACTCAAGACTAAGTAAGACTAAGAGCTGAACAGTGAATAGCTCTTGCCATGTGATTGCTCTGTTACAGGTCACCCAGGGCTCGTGGTAAGCCCTGGACATGTTTACTCATGTGCACGCCGTTTTAGATGCAAGAAGCTTGACGTAATGAGCAATGCTGGACTGGATAATCGTCTCCCAGGGTGCCACGGAACAGGTAAACACTCGTCCCTTGCTGATTAACACATTGGATTTTTCACTGGTTTTCATGCGACATATCCATTTCAGGAAAATGCCCTTTTTATTTTTACGCTCTCGTCGTTCTGAAGCCGCTATCGCTCATGGGCTGCCTCGTAATCTGTAGTGCCGGAATAGCCGTAGACAGACAGACAGACAGACAGACAGACATACACACACATATATATACACACAAACAATAAAAGTACCGCAAACCTTGTTGCACAAGTGCACCAAGGGTTATAAACACCAGCATTGGTAAGAGTCCCATTTATACCTGCTGTACAGTTGTGACTGCATGTGTGATGGCCTCTCCAGCCATGGAGTATGAGGCATTGTCTGACAGGCAACTGGACACCCGCAGCACTGTCTGCAGCAAGAAAGATAACACTCTCAACTTATCTATTTCCCTGGGACTTCTTTGAGAGCTTTTGTTTGTAAAACAAGGCCCCCTTAAAAGACTGCCAGGACTCCATATGTATTATAAACACTACTCAGAATTGGTTCAGGGACACTTATCATAATGCTTTCAGTCACACTATTTATCAAACATGACTGTTCTTTCAGTCACACCGTGTTTGACTGGTATAGTACCTGAGCAGCATCCACAGGTAGGTCACGGTGCTCTCCATTGTACAGTCTCACTGTGAATGCGTAAGCATAGAGTACGTTCAGGACACTGTAGCGAACTAGAGGAGAGGCCTTTCCATCCTGGATTGAGAGTTTACAACGATTCAATGTCACAGTACAGTTACTACTCTGTATAGCTATAATTGGCATGTGTCGAATTTGTTCTGTTGTTCTGTAAACCTCAGAAACAAAGTGAATTCAAAAAGTTTTTAGTAAACCACACATTTTTGATAATGATACAGAGAGACTAGTGACTAACACTGACTTTGACAAGGGTACCCAGTGGGGGAAGGTTTGGCAGAATGTCTGGAACAGAAACAACATCAGCTTCTCCAGTCTTATCAATAACAACTACTGGTTTCACAACCTACATATGTATATATACAGCAGTCAGGTAACAACTGATTCAAAGAACCACCTGCGTGGAATGTCATGTTTTCATCAATTCCCGGACTGAAGAAGTTTATTTTGTGCCGCGATTCACGATAAAAAGGTTTTCAATCTCAATTGTATGTTTTCTTACTAACACCTTGCCGAACCCTTATCTTATCACATGTAGCTACCAGCCCATTCTGGGAAGTTTGTTACACGGCACTTTCGACTTGAAATACCCAAAGTTCTACACCTTTGCATCATTTTTTGAGCCGTGCAACATGAAGGAACTTGTTGGAATAGTATGGCTGCTGGTTGCTGCAGTGGGGATGTCAGCGTCTGCAAACGAGACTACGATGACAGGAGACACTCAATGTCCCCCATGGCAGTCACTAGATAGAGCCAGCAACTCGTGCAAGTGTTTTAGAGTACCAGGCTATTTTGTAACATGCAGCGAAAATCCTTATTTCCTTCAAATACAAGAGTGCTACTGCATGACACACAAGCAGCAGAAGACCCTGGTTGGATCTTGTCTGTACACCTGCCACCGAGGAGAAAAAAGTACCAACTTATTAAACCTCACAGCTGACTCCATGTCTGAATTGAACAAGGAAATGTGTGGGCTATTCAAACGTACAGGCCAGATGTGTGGTGAGTGTATTCCTGGCCATGCCCCACCAGTCTACTCGTATACCCTCTCCTGTGTCCCCTGTACTGCCAGCAACTGGGGCAAGTACTTGGCAATCTCCCTCCTTCCGTCTACGGCCTTCTTTGTCTTTGTCCTACTGTTCAGGATCAGTGCCACTTCCCCGAGCCTCAGTGGATTCATTCTTTTCAACCAAATCCTCACCTGTGCTTCTACCATGAGAGCGTTGGAGATAAACCTGGAAAACAGGGACAAGTTTACGCCGGCAGGAAGGACTATCACAGAGGTGTTTGTTTCAATAAGTGGTGTGTGGAATCTTGACTTTTTTCGCCTAGTCTATCCTCCATTTTGCCTGCAGCCAGACACAAATGACCTCCAAGTTCAGGCAATGGACTACCTCACTGCAGTCTACCCTCTTGTGCTTATTTCTCTGGCCTACCTCCTGGTCCTGCTCTACGATCGGAATGTTCGTTTCGTTGTCTGGCTGTGGAAGCCAGTTGTGCCCCTCTTCATTAGGCTCCGGAGACAGTGGAACATCAAACACTCACTAGTAGATGCCTTTGCTACTTTCCTTCTCCTCTCTTACGTCAAGATTCTCAGCGTGTCAGTTGACATCCTCCTGCCCACTGTTTTCTTCGACCGCGATCGCTTCCAAGGGCCCACCTTCTCTCCCTTTATCCAAGGAAGCGTGTCTTACTTTGGCACTCAGCATCTTCCCTATGCCTGTCTGGCCCTCTTCTTTCTCCTCATTTTCACACTGCTCCCAATGGCCCTCCTGTTCCTCTACCCCTGCTCCTGTTTCCAACACTTTCTCAACTACACAGGCTTCAGATGCCAGACCCTACACATCTTCATGGACACCTTCCAGGGACACTACAAGAATGGAACCGATGGAGGCCGCGACCTCAGGTTTTTCTCAGGAATCTATCTTCTCATAAGAGGCTTAGTGTACGCATCAACCGCCTTGGCATACCAGATATCGAGTTACGGCTACACCACAATGTTTCTTATTGGTTTTACAGCAATTGTTGCCTTGGCTCGCCCTTTTAAGAAGTTCAGGTACAATTTTAGCGATGTTTTCTTCCTGGCCATCATAACCATGCTGTTTGTGAGCTTGATATCCTTCAGCTTTTCTCAAACTTTCATTACAGAAAAAGGCCTGATGCCTCCATCCTTTGTGTTGATTCTTGCTACCATCATTTATATAAACATATTGCTGTTCTACTGGATCAAGACAAACAGCCGGCTTTTAAAATGCTGGAATAAAGTGTGCCAGAAGCAACGATGTCTGCAAACCGGAAGACATGAAAATACACACTTACTCTCTTCGTAACTTTACAATAACATTAAACAGCCCCTAGCTAGCTTGTGACATAAACAAAACATTGGGTGTAGAGAAGTGATGCATACCTCCAAGAAAGAAGCATCTAACTTAATAGTCTAAAGTGTATGGCTAGGTATATAGCTGCTAATAAATATGGAACTACATACTCATTAGTTGGTGTTTTTGTACTTCAGTAGTGCATATTCCACTGATAACCATCATTGTTGCTAAAACCCAGCAGGTTCTCATGAGTTCTAGGAGGGCTAAAGTAACCGTTACTTCCCTACTTTGCAGTGGTTCTTTAGGCCAATTATTTCTGCACATGAATAGCTCATTCGAACATCAGCTGACGCACACAGTATACTTTACTCTTGTGTGTGTCAGTGTGCTGGTCTGGCAGCCGAAAGAGAATAATAAAGTGGTGGCTAAAGTCTTGTAGCAAAAAGTAGGACAGGCCAACCAACAAAATAATAGTAAGACGCTGATTCGAGGTAACTACGCGCGGTAGAAAGCCGAGAGCTCCGGCATTGTGGCGCCCCGAGCGCAGCGAGGACACTACCCCTGGGGCACGAGGCCGTATCTACCAGCGCGTATCAGCTTCACGTTGAGCGTTCTGGCTTTCCTGCGCCATAAAATGCAGCGGCAAGGGCGAAGCGGCAGAAAGACACGCAGTAATGACTCCGATCCGCCTTCTTTCCCTGCGCGCGCATGGTCTGCGCGTGCGCTTGGACGACGCGCGTCAATGTAGATTCAGTTGTTGTTTACATGTACATTTTGTTATGTTTTCCTGTTTTAACTGTAGGGTTTGTAGTTTCTGTAGGTTTAGTAAACCCCATCGAGGTTTACCACGGGATTTAGTAAACCTCGCCTTTGCAAACTGTCAAACCTAGCTCACTCTAATCATGAATCATGAATAATGGAACTGGACTAGAGTAACCTATCAATTATCGGCACCCTCACATTATCGGACGGCCGTGGAGACGTAATGGAAAGTAGTTTTTGTTACATCTGTTTGTAGCCATTATACCTAAGCTAATACTATCTATAAAACCAAGTTCCTGCCTCGAAGCATCCGGCCGTGACACCCGCTAAAACTACGGTGTCCGATGGTCCCGACCATCGGATGGTAATACCAAATATCGGACACGCCGCTTGCGTTCGAGAAGGCAGCAAGCTAATCGAGTCAAATCATGGTCAGCAACTAGGCCTACCTTCCTTCTACAAAACATGTAAATACGAGCTTCGTTAGCTTTTCCGTGACTTCAGGGCAGGCGTAATTTTTTACTCTATACTGGACTATACTGGAAGAGTGCAGTAAAATAGTAAATGCTCAGTAGAGGCCAGGACTACATGTTTTGCCACAGAGTCAGTGACTCACCCTCCACCAGGGAGTGTGGAGAGGGATGAGAGAGGAGAGGTGGCCACTGGCCATTGCAGCCCGGAACTGCTCCTGCTCTGACCTGCTCAGTTTGTTCCACACTGCCTCCGGGCTCTCAGCATCTGGGATAACACAACAGTTTTATACTGCTAACAAACTGTGTTGGTAATAACGCTACACTGCCACTGACCAAATACGTCTCTTTTTCTGGTTGATAAATTACTTCGTATGTCTCGAATTCTTAGAGTATAATAGTATTTACATGGAGTATCGGCTAGTACATGCCCAAAAATGATACCTGCTATGAAGTAGCTAGAGTTACCTTTTGAGAGTACTAGTGTAGTTCTAAAGGTCGTGCAATGGTTGGTACAAGGTACAAGATAAATCATTTCACTATAATAATTATATATATATTTATGTACGTAGGTTCTCAGATTTATGCGGTGCGAAGCTTACAAGTTCACAGTACATCGGAGGGATAGGAAGTCTAATACAAGAAAAACATTTATCCGATTCCTCACACAGCATGCCTGAGCTGTACACACTTTGTACCACTATAGCAAGGTACAATGCTGCTATATGACCATAGCAACACTGTAATGATTCAGTGCCACTATTATTGATCCCCATGCTAACCTAAGTCCACACCAGCAAGTCTCTCTTCTAGAGTGGCACATTCTCCTTCTCCTCCCTCCTCCTCTTCCATACCCTCTTCTCCTGCCCTTCTCAGGATCTCCATCATCTTACTCTTCTCAGCAGTACTGATGGAGTGAACAATGATCAAAGTCGGTTAGTGCTGGCACAGTGACTGACAGAGATTAAGTTGTGGCACACAATCTGCCAGCATCACAGGAAAAACATAATACATTTTCTTATATAATAATCTGCGAGGCACTAGACGAGACTACAGAGCAAGGTGATACTGAGCAAGGTGATACTACTCCTGCACATACCTTATCTTCTGGGACTGAAGCTCAGTCATAAAACACTCTCGATAGAAATCCTCAGAGCACTGTGCATGTTTCTAGAAAGAATAAGAAAGAAAGTTTTATATTATCCTATTGGCTATCACATGAATATCTCTTGCACCCACCTCTGATTTATAGCAGCCGAGGGAGCAATACTGCACATTGCATCTTGGGCACGTGTACTTTGCAAACTGTACAAGACATCTGAACAAACAAGAAAGTTACCTAGACTAATGGAAGCCCATGGCTACTCTTACAGAGAGCAGGTGGCCGTTTGCCGTGGCTCTAGTCCGAGATTCCCTTCCCCAGACTGCATCTTGAAACTACAACCGGAGAACTTTGACCTTCAACGCGTATAAAAGGGGGAGTATCCGACCGCTGAGTATTGTGAATTATCGGAGCGACTCGCCCTTCTGAAATCGTTCTGACGAAGAAATCATGGCGTGCTTTTCTAGAGGATTTCAGGGTATATTCAGAGCTCATAGAGATGGAGGAGCATTCTCCCAGAGATGGAGTTCAATCAGCGTAAGTAGCTAGGGATATTGGGCCTATCGCTGCTTTTGCTGCGCGTTCAGGCCGTGTGCGTGCTGCTGCTATAAGTACCGTAAGCACCCGTGTCTCTAACAAGGTATTTTTTTAACTTTATACTAGAGGTCACTGTCGGTGAGCAGCAAACTCAACGCAGAGTTCTTCAACAGCTCTCAGGAGGCAGTGTGGGACATTGGTGATGACACAAAGATCCTTGCTGGAGGTAGCTAGATATAAATGCTCTTAGTTTATCTTGTGGTAGCTTGGATGGATGAGTTTTTAAGCATGATCAATGTTACACAACCAGTGACGAGGAGGGTATAGCTAATTTGGGGTCATGGGTGCATCCTGCATTCCTGAACTCTTTGGAATGCATTGATTGGAGGTCAGTGACCCGTGACCTGAAATTCATTGCTGTCAGAACCATTAAACATATCCTGTTCCTCAATGATTCAGAAATTATTGCCCCTTTGCGTCTTGTGTCTGTCTGCACACAGGTTTTGGACTGGTTGGGATTCCAGAGAACCTCATCAGGGCTCTGAGAGTGACTGGACCCAAGTTCCTGACTGTTGTCAGCAATGAAGCTGGGTGAGGGACAGCTTGCTTCATGAACTATGTATGGTGTAGTGTGTATGTTTGAATACCTGTGAATGTTGTGGTAGAACACTTGAGAGTAACTATTTTTGTAGAGATGGGGACAGTCTTTCTTATTAACCCTCGATGCACATGCACAGCGAGGGTTACAGACTTGGTTCGTTAGTATGTATGTCTGTCTGTCTGTTCTGCCACTAGGAGCAACGAGACAACAAAAGAGTGATACCAACAGGTTCAGCACTGTATTATACACTGGCTTGATTTTAAATTTGGTGATTTTCGTGAAACTATTGTACTGTGTTCGGGAGTTATGGCGTGAAAACCAAGTGAAAATCAATATGCAAATTAGCACAGGCTTACCTTGACTGGATCTGCTTGCTTTGCGTACCTTAGAGGCACCAGAAGTTTCGACTCCCGCATCTAGTATATAACTAATGTCAGACTCACAGAGTGCTACGAGAGACTACAACAACAGCGTAGCCAACCAATCAATTAGCGGTAGGGGCCCGCTCATCAATATGGGGGTGTCAAAACACATGCATGCTTTGAGCCAAGGATTTTCATTTTAGTACTATAATATATACAGTTTTGAACCGCCACCACTCCAAGTGTTGGGTGTGGTCTGATGGATAACGACTCACACACTAGATCGAGAGGTCCCTGGTTCGGTCCCAGGTCTGTGGTGTTTTTTATATCATGTAATGCGAGTGTTGATATAAGAAGAACGTTTTTTCATCACTTCTCATGGCCAGCCCAAGTGGCTAAGTGGTTAGAGACGTGGGGACTGTCACATAAGGTGCCCGGTTCGAATCCCGGACCCGCACTGAAACTGACAGATGGTCCAGAGCATTGGCTGGGAACAGCTCTGGTTCCTCCCCTTACCCACGAATCTACCACTGACCCACATACATCTCAAAGGACAGCGTATAGTTCGGCATAGCACTGCGTCCGTAGACGTCTGTCTGGAGAGATGGAGGGCTGGCCCATCATGTTTTTAAAAAACTTTTTTACCTAAAGGAATGGTGAATAACATTCACTTATCTTCATTTTTAATGTCTTTCTGAAGAGATGGAAGGCTAGCTATTTTTTTCAACAATAAAACAATCCGTGAATACAATCAGTTATCCTTTTTTACTGCACGGCCAGTAATGTTTGTATGCTTGCATCCTCAACATAATATATAACATTTTTCAGAATAATTGCCCTATATTACCATTGGTGCCCTATATACATCTTAACCAATGTTTATTGCGTACATAGGAGAGTACGTATATTCCATTCCCCAGCAATGATGAGATGGGACTTGGTATTCTGATAAAGAACCACCAGGTGAAGAGGATCGTCTGCTCCTTCATTGGCAACTGCCGTGAGCTGGAGAAGCAGTACCTGAGTGGAGACATTGAGGTGGTGTTGTCTCCGCAGGGCTCTCTGGCTGAGAGGATCAGGGCTGGCGGTGCGGGCATCCCTGCCTTCTATACCCCCACCGGCTTTGGGACCCTGGTCCACAAGGGAGAGCCCATCAAGTTTGATGACAAGCAACACGTGGAGATAGAGAGTCGGGGGAAGGAGGTGAGTACGTGTTTAATCAGCTACCAAATTGGATAAGCTTAACATTTTTACCCCATGATGATAACGCCACTGGATATGGAGTGTGGAGTATTTTTGGCCTACTGAGGCTAAATAGCTACATTCTGCAGTAACAATGTGTAGCCAACTGCCTCTAAACAGTAATGAATGACTTCCCTTACTTAGCCTGTCATTTTGTCGTGCAATTTGTATATTATGCTACAGATAGCAGTGTGACTACTGTTTGTTTGTATGTCTCCCTTTAGCACCGGGTGTTTGCAGATCATCACTACATCATGGAGGAGTCCATTACTGGAGACTTTGCTCTCGTGAAGGCCTGGAAGGCCGACATATACGGGAACCTAGTTTTCAGAAAGTCAGCCAGAAACTTTAATATTCCCATGGCAAAAGCAGCGAGATGCACCATTGCTGAAGTGAGTTCTGTGCTCGCAGGCAGTGTAGCTGGTGTCATGGTATGATGATTGGTGTCCAGGTGGAGGAGGTTGTAGATGAACCGCTTAAACCCGAAAACATTCATCTTCCCAGCATCTATGTTCAGAGAGTGGTAAAAGGAGAGAGATATGACAAAGTTATAGAGGTACATTACACTGCTGTAGTTGTAGCATTGAAGAGCCTGTTGTCTATAATGCAGAGGCGGACGACGCGAGCCAGGGGGCAAGAGTCTACCAGATTGACACCCACAAACGACCGCGAGAGGCAAAGGGATAGGATTGTGCGCAGAGCAGCCCTCGAGTTCCATGATGGCATGTATGGTAAGAGTAAAAGAAAGTACACATATGTGTGTAAAAATGTACAACATGGCTGCTATCTTTCCTCTGTTCAGTTAACCTGGGTATTGGTATTCCGATGCTGGCCAGCAACTACATTCCTAAAGGGATGAGGGTGGTCATACACAGCGAGAACGGTGTCCTGGGCATGGTGAGTCCAGTGCAGGGCTGAGCATGTCCTCACTTACCACCTGTTTCTGTAGGGCCCATATCCTTATGAGGGGGAAGAAGACTGTGATCTCATTAATGCAGGTTTGTCTTTCTGTTTCTGTGTATTCTGCAATATCTGGGTAATGTCTCGCCAACAGGGAAGGAGACTGTGACTCTGATAGATGGGGGGTCCTACATGGACAGTGCTGAAGTGTTTGCAATGATCAGAGGGTCAGTTTCCTTCAGATCATTTGTGACATGCACACAGCAGGCCATAGGTTGATTGATATGTAGTGCATGGATAGTAGCATGCAGTGGTCATGTTCCAGGAGATATACTTTTCTTGTGTTTGACATAGGAATTAGACAGAAAATATTCTCCAAGACGTTGCTATGATAATTATTATAATAGCTGTGATGCAAGGGTATATAAGCTGTACTGCAGTTGCCCTGAAATTATGTGTCTCTTATCTCCATTACTACAGTGGACATTTGCACATGACAATGTTGGGGGCCATGCAGGTTAGCCATTCAATACAATAGTGGGACAGTTGTTAGTTTGTTTCCCACTATAGGTGTCTAAAGATGGGGACCTAGCCAACTGGATGATACCGGGGAAGTTGGTGCGGGGAATGGGAGGGGCTATGGACCTAGTGGCTCCTCACGAGAAGACCAGGGTCGTTGTCACCATGGAACACACTGCCAAGGTCTCATACAGCATCTGTAGCACCCGAGTTAAGGGCCCGAACTTGCCGTGATTGGGTGGAATTTTCACATTTTGTGAAGAGTTATGTTACCCACGCCTCCATTTCTTGCAGAGCATGATTTCGCATGATTTCGTAGATGGCTTACTAGTGAACGCATCTTGCAAGTTCATGGCATATGCAAGTGCTAGTAAACGTATGCAACATTATAACTACTGCACCAGGTTTCCCCCAGCAGTAAATAGCACATGCTAATTATTAACCCTGGTCTCCTTTATAGGATGGTTCTCCAAAGATCCTTGAAAGATGTGAGTATCCGATAACTGGAAAGAACTGTGTGGACCGCATCATCACCGAGATGGTACTATATTTTCATCTGGATAATGTGATAGGCAATGCTAAAACCAAGCTTGGGCAAATGTTAATAAGTGATTTTTGTAATCCTGGTCAATTAATTCTAACACCAGCATCAACATGAGCTAATGTGTTGATGCAGTGTGTGATGGACAGAGTGGTTGGCCGTGGGTTGGAGGTGGTGGAACTGGCTGATGGTGTGTCACTGGAGGACATCAGGTCTTGTACCGGAGCTACCTTTGAGGTATGATCATAATAGTAGACAATACCAAAGAGGTAGGTAGCTATATAATTAACCCTCGGCACGCATGCGCAGCGAGGGTTACGTTCTTCTGTCTGTCGACGCTTATGGCACTACAGGCTACGAGGCGGCCCATTAGCGATACCAGCGGCTTCAGAACTACGCGAGCCTGAAAAATAAAAGGGCGATTTTCCTGAAACGACTGCATTCGAGAGCGACAAACTGGCCACCGAGTAGGGGTGTGGAAATTATGCCGGGCATAATTTGGGAATTTTTTGGGGCTGCTCGAATCCGAGAATATTCCAGGAATAATTTCTATACTAGGAAGGCGCACGCGCATATTTTGCCTAGCTAGTCGCGCCAATGTGTCCGATTGAGGCCGCTCGTGCGCGCGCTCTACTGACTGCGCGCGAAGCCTGACTTCCTACGAATCTGTGCGCACGGCGGAAGCTAGACTTCCTACGAATGACAGAAGTTACACTTCCTTTTGGTGACTAATTGACATTCCTAAGCGTGACTAATTGACGACATACATACGCCAATTATATACTGTGTTCAAAATTTCAAGCATAATTTGGTAAAAATAGGAGCATAAATTGCACATAATGGAAGAATCCAGGAGTAGAATAAAATTCAAATATTTGAGCATAATTTCCTCAGCCCTACCACCGAGTTGTCACGGTGTGGCCCAACCCATCATTAAGCGGTGCGCATGCGCGATCAACGCGGTGGCTGGCTCACACACCTCGACCTGATCTGTGTACCTTGGAGGCACAAGAAGCCACAGCGAAGGGCGTGTATCGACTCCCGTAGCTAGCCCGTGTCAGACTCTCTGCGAGCTACTAGCTGGAGACCGCGGGTAAACACCAATAGCCAGCCCAGCCCGGCCCATCCATTCGGTACCGCGCATGCGCAGTTCGCCGAGGGTTTGCACTTTAGTGCACGTCTATTATTATTTTTACTTCACATGAGCCCTAGAAAGAATGTCATAACTTCTTGAATTGGACTATTGAAATCGTTGCAACTTGTTGATTCTGATGATAAATATCCTTCAATACCTCACCACAGTCAGAATTCAGCTGTATGTCCCATATTATAGCTATGACAAGTACACCATAAGTAAAGTACCCAATAGCAGTATATACCTGTGTGGCACGACCAGCCTTGTGCGTGGCAATGCTCATCTCTCTGTGACTCTGGCTGAGTCTCAAATTTTCCACTTGTGTGCATACACTTTTATACGAATGACACGGTAAGATTACGTAATGAATAACGAGTAAATAGTCTACATACAGTACGGGTGTTACATCTGTACAAAAAACTTGTGGGGCTCAAAATAATGGGCTTGGGCAATGATAGCTCTTATTTCAGACAACAATTCTTGCAGGTATCTGATGATATGCGACCAATGCAACAGATTGAAGTGTAGCCATTTTCTACCGTCGCAAGAGTCATTTTTATAGCTTCTCTAATAATATTATTGCTGAAAAAACATTAGTTTCATGCTGTCAGCCAAGTACTTTTTAGTATTTCAGATTTCAATTTTTCATGTAATAATTATATTGTAATGTTGCGTACAATTGGTATATAGTAAGATGATTATTGGCAATCAGACCATGGGAAGCTCCATAACTGCTTGGTCCTACAGCAGTGCTCACAGGCAGTGCAGCCCTAACAGAAGATGTGCTCACTTGGAACGGCACTAGTTGGGGAGTTAAAGTTCCCTCTGTCCTCTGATACCAGATCCTCATGGGAGAACTACAGGAGAGAGATGTGAGCTCTACATTTTTGTGGCCTTTAGCTACTTCTCTTGCGGTCTGATCAGCACATGGCGCCATAGCCTGTTGCACAACATTTTGGCGACCCCCTCCACCAGCCATAGTACAGTATAGTAGAGGCGTATTGTGACGCACGCAAAAGTGCCCCCGCGCACGCCGCCCCCAGAGCTGATCTGAGAGAGGGCGTGGACCCTCGGCCGACGAGCCAAGAAGCTTCGACGCCTCACACGCACATACATAGTGTATACTATGTCTGCCGGCGGGCCAAAGTCTAGGCAGGGCAAAGCTTCGGCGCGGGGTATATGGTGGGACTTCTCGTCTGGGTCAGCGTCAAATCGCAAACTTCATCGTAAACCCAGTTGCCAGGAGAGCGTTGATGGGGAGCGCTGCAGGGAGATGTCTCGTTCTTCCACTTCTCCGGCACTGGGGACGGCCAGAGGGTCTTCCCCAGCCGACAGTACTAGCTCTTCGACCAGCGGGAAGGCTGATCAGGTGGTGGTGGGTGTGTGCGCCATGAACAGCAAGGTGTGTTGTTGTGAGTGTGCGTGTAGCTACATACTGCCGTACAATGTGACCTTTATTGAGGGCACATTTTATTATGGTTAGAGTATGGCAGGATGTGGCTCTGTGCTGTTTTTCAGGGCCAGGTATGGACTTCCACTTGTCTTTTCCCTATTTGCAGACACTGGCCCCTCCCATGCAGAGCATACTGTCCCGCCTACAGCACTATGACTACATCAAGATCGTGGTGTTCTCTGACGCCATCATACTTAAAGACAGGGTAGAAGACTGGCCCCTCTGTGACTGTCTCCTTGCCTTCTTCTCCGAAGGCTTCCCTCTCCAAAAGGCAGTGGACTATGTCAGACTGCGCAGACCCTTTGTCTTCAATGACCTCAACATTCAGTTCACTTTACAGGATAGGTCAGTCGCTATCAGTGTTAACTGGCGAGTGAAGCGAGTCATTTCAATGCGGGAATTTTCTATGTATATATACTTATACTGTGACGGACTCTGGGCACTGCACATACCGTAATGTTCTACGTGATTCTAAATACGTGATGCAAAACACGTGCGAAATATTGAACTGCTCACGCTCGGTCACCAACAATTAATTGCATTCCTCTAGTTATCTGTTCCGCTGAATTTCATCCACACACTTCCTCAATTGACGAAGTGGCTTCTGGTTTTTGTTACAGATCAAAAGTGTACGATATATTGAAGCAGAGCGGGATTCGAGTTCCCCGCTATGCAGTGTTAAGGAGACCTAATGGTACGTAATAAGGAGCACCAACTCTGAAATCTCTCTAAAATTGGTGTCCAATGCGTGTACAAATGTAGTTGTTTGTAGCATATGCTGTACAATTCTTTTTGACCAATGACTGTGCAAGCTGTGTGGGCAAGAGTGAGCTTAGTAAAGTCAACTTGTAACTCAGAGCCGACTCGTGCTCTTCCGTCTCAGTGTCTAGAGACAATGGCACATGAGTATCATGTATAGTGTCACAATGCAGTCATGCAGTCATGCATGTGCTGCATGTAAAAGAGACAAGGGACAGTTACTCCTAGCCCAGGTGCACGCTCAGAGTGCATACTGCACTATAAATACTTGTCTGCTGTTCTACATGAGCTGTGAGTATCTGTTATCCCCTCCCTACATAAGATGAACTAAGTGAGCCTACCAAGGACATTATAGAGGTGAACGGGGAAGCGTTCCACAGGCCATTTGTGGAGAAGCCTCTGTCGGCGGAGGACCACAATGTTCACATCTACTTCCCGTCTGACTATGGTGGTGGCTGCCAGAAACTCTTCAGGAAGGTACGTACGAGTCTCATTTTACCATTGTAGAAACCACCAATACCAAATATACGTAGTTCAAAATCACTGACACTTTTCCCTCACCAGTGTACCGTAGGAACTAGCAATTCAAAGTTACTCACTGCCCATTTCCCTTCAGTCACAACATGCCCCCCATTGTGATTCTATTTCCCCCAAGGTCCTGCCCTAATTGGTCTGTTCACTCAATGTACATTCCAATGAGGTATAATATTTTCCACATCCAATGGGGATGCTAGGCACAACCCTCTGGGTATGGATGTCAACACAAGATGAAGATATGAGCTGCTTGGGTTGGTATAATATGTACATATCTAGAGAGTTCCATTAACTACACTATAAGGCTATGCCTTTATTCATGTTCTTCACCTTGTTCTTTCTCTGAATTACGCATGCTCCCTGTGGATCCCCCGACTGGCCGGTGACTAGATTGGTAACCGGAGCAGCTCCTACTGCTCAGAGAGCCGCGTCCGTCGGGACGGGTCCTACATCTACGAGGAGTTCCTGGCCACGGATGGTGTGGACGTGAAGGTCTACACTGTCGGTCCAGACTATGCCCACGCTGAGGCCAGGAAATGCCCCGTGAGTGACATAGTATACATATACACAAACATGAAAAAATGAACAAAGTATGTGCTAACACTGAAACTGACACTAGGTGAAGTGGCTTTCTTCTAGTTGACCAATCATATTTGAGTATTTCAAACTGGCAATAATGATAATAATGATAATGTATGTACACCAACTTTTCAGCTAAACATGAGGAGGCTTTTGATTCATTAACAAGTGTTTGCAGTTTACATACATACATCACTGGGCATTATTCTGTGAGAGGACTGGTGGTCCATAATGTACTGTATTGTGTATCATGTAATGTCTGTTGTGTGGTGTCCACGGCAGAGTCTGGATGGTATAGTCCAGAGAGATGACAAGGGACTGGAGAAGAGGTTCCCTGTCATCCTCACTGCAGAGGAGAAACTGATGGCCAGACAAGTCAGCCTCGCATTCAAAGTATGTATCTTTGAGAATTGTAGGTATACTGAAAGTGTCAAAATAGTGTTTGATTGGCGAGAGAAGCGAGCCCACCTAGGCATCTGAATGTGGAATTGTACTGTATGTAACAGTGAACTGACACACAGACCAACATACCGTAATGTTTACGTGATTCTAGATACGCGCGAAAATATTGAAACGCTCGCACCATTGAGTAATGTTCTACGTCATTCACAAAACACGTACGATCTGCTCGCGCTCGCTCGCCAAACAATGCATACAGTCCTCTAGTATTTCTACGAACGATGCGCAGAACATAGTGTCATCCATTTGCTCTGCCTTTAAGGCTGTTCACTGCACAATTGGCCTGGGGCTATAGTGGCTTCTAACAGTTTTACTGAAAGGTTGTATACCTTGAAGCTTGGCCTGCCAGCGCTAAGCAATGAGTGCTAATCATCTGAGATTTAACTGTTTGTGAAGACAAAGCATTTCTTGGCTACTTTTCTCAGTAAGTGGGTCACTATGGCACTATTCCATGAGTGCATAAAGCCAAGATGTAGTGTAAGAATCTCCAACCTTGTGGGTTTGAAAATGGCTTGGTGGTGGGTGACCTGATATTGTGTAACTGTAGCATGCGGAATTTGTTTAAGCACCTGATATTCCAATACTCTGATGTGGCCATAAAATATGTTGTCTGGGGCGATTCCCATTGCATATGGGGTGACACTGGGTAGTTATGGGATGTTGTGTAACTCTGAAGCTAAATTCCACCACTGCCACTCTGATGCGGCTGTATACAGTAGTCTCCTGGCCAGTGGCCAGTGAGGCATGTTGTGCAAAGCCTAGAGCATTTGTGCATGTGGCACAAACCTTTAGGGCTCTTCCTCAAAGAAAAGAATTTTTTAACTTACAATAAAAAAAAAAGTCATAATAATTAGTGTTCTACACGATCAGTGGAGTGATTTCTACAATTCCCCATGCAGCAAACTGTGTGTGGATTTGACCTTCTGCGCTCCAATGGGAAGAGCTATGTGTGTGACGTCAACGGCTTCAGCTTTGTGAAGAAATCTGAAAAATACTACGACGACTGTGCCCAGATACTGCTGTAAGAACATTCAGCACCTCTTCAAGACGTGTATTGCATTGCGCGAAACATATTCAAGTTGGTAGAAGTAAGGCTCCAGGCATGACTCCTAGGAGCTATTGAGATTTTGTATGTTAGAGTCCAAGTGACTTGGTACATGTTGATATAGTGTAGGTGTGCATTTACTGCAAAGTCTTCTCTCTGTACTACTTACCTGCAATACTTACCTGCAATACTTACCTGCAATACTTACCTGCAATACTTACCTGCAATACTTACCTGCAATACTTACCTGCAATACTTACCTGCAATACTTACCTGCAATACTTACCTGCAATACTTACCTGCAATACTTACCTGCAATACTTACCTGCAATACTTACCTGCAATACTTACCTGCAATACTTACCTGCAATACTTACCTGCAATACTTACCTGCAATACTTACCTGCAATACTTACCTGCAATACTTACCTGCAATATGTATGTACACCGGATATAACATGCGCAATTGGACATACAGACGTATTATTAACAGTCCGGTTTGGAACCACTAGATTAGCTCGCTCCCGCTCATCAATATCACTACTAAGTCAACAGAATAATTACCTGTAATTCCAATAACTTGAGGATAACGGGTAATTGTCACTTCCTTTATTGTGTATATTACAGAGAGATAATCACGAGTCGTTTTGCTCCGGAATATTTCCCCAACATCCCTCCATCAGTTGAGTACCTCGCCGAGGATGTCCCTGTACCCATTCCCAAGACCGACAACAACAAGTGTGTGTGCATACGGTGTAATTGGCAAGCGAAGCGAGCCTAAGTACCTAGTCGTTTCAATGCGGGAATTTTCATACACATTTATCTGTATGTGTGACGGCTCTGTCTGGCACTGCACATATACCGTAATGTTCTACGTGATTCTAAATGCACACAAAACACGTGCGAAATTTTGAACTGCTCGCGCTCACTTGCCAACAATGCGTTGCATTCCTCTAGTATGTTATGAGATCTGACAAGTGTATGTGTATGTACGTATAATTATACAGCTCTAAGGACGTCTTTGAAATAAGGACAACCTTGTACTCAAGAACAGTTCTGTCATGTGATTTAAATAGGGGCACCTCTCATTAACCCTTGGCGCACATGCTCAGTGAGGATTACTGTAGTTGGGTTTGTGTGTCTGTTACTCGACATCTCACTTCTCGAGTGTTTGTTCGTCTCACAAACGATACGACCTACTAAACGGGCAATGAAGGTCAGAACGCTTGTGGGGTTTTCTCTGCAAATGCTCCGTTGCAAACTAGAGCGCTTCCAGTATTGTATGGCTAATGCCGGTAGTCGCCATTTTATCGCTGGCGGATAATGCGCATGCGCTTATATTTAGCACAGGCTTATATACCCCGACCGGGTCCGCTTGCTCTGTCTATCTTGGAGGCACAAGAAGTCACAACGAATGGCGCGTATTGACTCTCGCGTGCTATCTACTACTAGTAGCTAGCCCGTGTCAGACTCGCTCTGCGAGCTATGTACTACTTCGCCGAGGGTTTGCACTTTAGTGCTTTTCATTGAAACCTTTATTTGTCTCATTGCTGTCCAGACTTGTTCCACTGTCAATGAACTCATCATATGTACACAATATATATCAATAAGTACACTTACTGCATGTGAAACTGTTGTCCTCTGTGTGGTCCAGGGACCAGCTGCGCTGTGTGATAGGCATCATTCGTCACGGAGACAGAACTCCCAAGCAGAAGATGAAGATGATCGTGAGCCACAAAAAGTTCTACCAACTCTTTGAGGAGATGAACGGATATACCACGGGACACATCAAAATCAAGGAACCTCAGAAGATGCAGGTAAAATTGTACCCTAAAACCATTTGACTCGTTGACTTAACCATGAGATGAAGAATACCCTGTATCACGTGAAAAGTGTAAACCCTGGGAATAGCTACAGCCAAGCCTTTTCCCTTGTCGTTGCATCCTTGCAACGTGAGTAGTATTCTTCGTATTAGTGGTAGTGTCAATGTCATTCTGCCAAGGTTGTTGCATCTATCGCAGCAACTGCTGGACATCACTCGCTCTCTCCTGGAGCACCCAAACGGAGTGCAGGAAGAGGTGCACAAACTACAGCAGCTCAAGACTGTCCTGGAAATGTGAGTTTGTCTCTCTCTGGCCGTACATGAATCACAAACTACGTAGGAAGTGCTGATGCAAGGCAAGTGCGTACTACATCATCTCCCTAGGTAGACCCACGACGCTCTGCTCACTATGCAGAGTGCTCTACCCACTGAGCTTTAGCTACCAGGGCAGCTCGGCCAAAATAGTACAACACATACGTACACAAGGCAGAGGCCAAACGCTCTGTGCTCTGGCACAGAAACCTGCTATATACATAATAATTATGCTTTGCCAAAAGAGCTCAAAAGAGTTGTGAATTTTGCAAACTCTGCAGGTATGGCTACTTCTCAGGCATCAATAGGAAGGTGCAGTTCAAGCTTGTGACTCATCGACCTACACCCACCAGTCCCAAAGGTTTGCCCAGTGGTCTTTTGTTCGATTGTGTACGAATTGTTGGTGGACTGACTGAACTATGTATCCTGGAAGTGTAAATGTAATTGTAGTACACAAGCCATTGCTGCTTTCGTTAAGAATTTGATGTCATGAAGTCTCAATATTTCCTTCTAGATGACTTTTGTATAATGTTCATGTACACGTGATGAGTGATATATAATTGTAGTATGTTGTATGTTGTGTGTCTGTTAGGGCAAGGGTTGTTGCTGATCCTGAAGTGGGGAGGAGAGCTGACGGCAGCAGGCCAGAGGCAGGCAGAAGAGCTGGGCCGGGCGTTCCGCTGCATGTACCCCGGGGGAGAGGGGGAGTATGCCTCTCTCCCGGGGTCGGGGTTCCTCCGACTTCACTCCACCTACCGACACGACCTCAAGGTGTATGCCTCTGACGAGGGCCGGGTCCAGATGACTGCGGCTGCCTTCACCAAGGTGGCTGCTCTACTGCTGCATTAGCCATTTAACTGTGTTAATGCAGTGTTGCGAGCTTCTGGCTAGTATGTTTCTCAGCGTACCATGCCTCCCAATGTAACACACTGTATTTCGCATAAGCCCTTACCAATGGTAGTCAAAGTATTACTACAAGTCACACTTCTATCCATCCCTTTACTACGAAATAGGGCCACTGACTAAAACTCTGGTTTACCCACTATTTTTGTACTGTATGTTACAGTAGTACCATACTATGGTTGTTAGGGATTACTGGACCTTGAGGGGAGTCTAGCATCAGTCAGAACCCACCTGGTCAAGAGAGACCAACACGCCACTGACCTCCTCGACACCTCTAATGGGGCTGATGACATCATCAGAAGGTATGTGATTGCCATGCTTTCATACCTCACTCCAATGGTCCCTCCCCTTCCTGCATTAGAGCGTTGGTAGACAAGAAGATGCCTCCACCAAGGCAGAAGAAAGTCATTTCATAATCCAATCCCTTTAAAACACAAAATGTAGGGATGGGGTTATGAGTGACTTTCTGTCTTTGTGTAAGCTATGACGTCCGTAGTACATCCCCATTCATTTCATAGAAATGATTTTTCACCTTGCAATTACATAATTTGATGTTACATTCCACAAGGGATGGACGTCTACAAAAAATAATATTGTGTTCTCTGAGTGTATATGTATATAATGTTGGTGTCTCTGATTGCAGTGTAAAAGAGGATCTCCATCTCATGATGAGATCTGCTGAGGATTTCACTGAGGATTCCTATAAGACAGTAAGTGTGCAGCCTTTGATAACTTAATAATTGGTCTATATCATCTTCTCTACTATTGCCTTAGTCAATTGCACTTATATAGTACTAGGTTTTAGTACACAGATAGTCTCAAGCCCCTGTTTTACGCGGACAAAATTGAAAACTGGTTTAGGTTTACGAACCGGTTAAAAATGTCTGTGTAAACGGGGCTTAAGTTATATGAGATTTTACACCACATGCAATGGTTGATGGTGCTGTATGCCGTGTTGTGTCCGTCCCAGCTTGCTCCCACCAGGACCGATTCCATCCTGACTGCCATGCGACATGTGAGGAACCCGAGGATAGCCTGCGAGCTCCTCTACCAGCAGATCAAGTCCCTCACCGCTGAGATCAGGACCAAGATGGTCTCCCAGCCTAACAGTGAGCAACACATGGACATATAGACACATATTATTACCGGTCACATGACTTCTGACCAATCAGATGCGTGTGGAAAAGTGTGCATTAAATCACGTAATGTACACTTGTAAGTGTGCAATAACCAGATAAGGCACATTTTTACTAAAAGGTTTGCTGCGCTTTGACGCTCGATTGCCTATACACGTGCGCGCGTTGTCTGGAGGGAGGTCTATACATGACTTACATATGTAGTCAGAGGGCGGATAACATCGTTACTCACATTGTAGGCATCTTTCGTCGCAGGCGGTGTGTAGAGCTTGGCCACACAACACAACAGGAAAACTGTCTCTGCACACACAATATCACCCTACCAATGCAAATTTAGTTCAGTGACTTACTCAGAAATACTGGACTTTCACCTGTAGATTTATATACGCTTTACTAATATGCCCTCCCCCGCTTAAATGCTGAAATGGGGAGGAGAGGCAAACTGTAGCAAGCTGTTCCTCATTGGAACCCAACACTCACTGTTCCCTGCAGTACACCTGTATGCCGGGGAGTCACTGGGGGTCATGCTGCAGAGATGGAGCAAACTTGAGAAGGTATAGTACCATGGGGTGCATCTGGTACTAAATTGACTGGTGTTATGTTTTTTCATCCGCACAGGATTTCAAGGGGCCTAATGGCCAATTTGATATTAGCAAAATACCTGATATTTATGACTGTGTCAAATACGACCTACTGCACAACAGGTACTACATACAGGAAACATCCATACATCTATACTCTACATACTGCAGATGATGTCGTATACATGCTACATGTAAACCGCTCATTCTGTCCTGCAGACTGATGGGTCTGGACCGAAATAACCTCCATGTGCTGTTTGACAAGGCCATGTACCTAGCGGATATTGTCATACCTCAGGTACTGTAACTACAGTGTGCAACACCATCACAGTTTGTACCTCGTGGTTTCTGTGTCTTCTGCTTGTTTAGCCATCTTCAGCAGCCGCCGAATGAGTTTTCTCTTTGCTAAATGCCTTTACTTCACAGCAAGAATCCTCTCTTTTGAGGACTATTTGAAGTTATCTAATGCTTTAATAATTGACACATTTCTTAAAGAATGTCTTTACGTTTAGAAAAATAGGCACATTTGAAGGCACAAAGAAAGCAATGTATGTGGGCATAAAAGAGAAGAGAAGTTTGAGCATAATCTACCAAGGCCTAGTTAAGAGTTTTAAGAAGCTAATTATGGCTATAGCCCTGGCGTTGAACTGAGAGTGCACCTGGAGGCCTGCAAAGGGTTGTCATAGGGCTGGAGCAGGCCTCTCCATTAACTCCTGTAATAGCTGTCCCCTACGTGTTGTGGGTGTGTGTCCTAGTGTGAAGTATTAAATCTACGATGTACACATGTTGTCCCAGGAGTATGGAGTAACAAGGGAAGAGAAGCTAGCAATGGCAGAGATAATCTGCACCCCCCTCCTCAACAAGATGCAGTCTGACCTGCACCATGTTCTCTCCAACGAGAGCTCTGACATCAACCACAGACTGGACCCCCAGCTCTCCAAGCACATAGTCATCTCCCCCAGCAGACATGTCCGTACCAGACTCTACTTTACCAGCGAGTCACACATACACTGCCTCATCAACATCCTCAGATACAGCAGACTCTTTGGAGTGAGTCACAAATTGTTTTTCACTGCCCCTATATGCAACATTGTATTGGTACATAGGTTCAACTTCCAAAAATGTTACAGGTACATACGTAATCATGCAAACCCTGGTGTTGATTGACCCAGAAACATACCTACATGTAATATCGTGCCTCCCAGGGTATATATGTACACACTTCATGGGTAAGCAATTGCTGATTAGCAATTGGCTTTTTAGCTGGTTTTCACACTACATAATTATTCTTTAGAAAAATATATTTTTCCATTTCTTGTGGTTCTGAAGCCGTTTGTATCGCTCATAGGGTGCTGCGTAGCCTGTAGTGCCAGAATAGTCGTAGACACACAGAATAATGTTTAGAGACACAGACATGATATTGGTATAATATACTGACCAATAGTGGGTGGAAATAATATGCTCCTTACAAATGCCATACACTGAGTGCTGGTATATACAGATAAGTATATACCTGCCGCAAGCAAGTTTGCGGTGTGGTCTGATGGATAATGACTTGCACACTAGATCGTGAAGTCCATGTTCGATCCCAGGTCTGTGGTCTTTTTTTTTTATAATGATGTAATACGAGTGTTGATAAAAGAGGAACGTTTTTTCATCAGCTCTCGTGGCCAGCCCAAGTGGCTAAGTGGTTAGAGACGTGGGGACTGTCGCATAAGGTGCCCGGTTCGAATCCCGGACCCGCACTGAAACTGACAGATGGTCCAGAGCATTGGCTGGGAACAGCTCTGGTTCCTCCCCTTACCCACGAATCTACCACTGACCCACATACATCTCGAAGGACAGCGTACAGTTTGGCATTGCACTGCGTCCATAGACGTCTGTCTGGAGAGATGGAGGGCTGGCCCATAATTTTTTTTTTTCAACCTCAGAATTTATTGTTTTGCCTAAAACAATCCACTGATTAGTGTGAATGGTTCAAGACACTCAGTTATCTTTTTTAATGCATGGCCAATATAGTTTTTTTTGTATAGTGAGAAGCCTCTCAACATAACTCTTTCGGATTGCCCATTAGCAACCTGCTTTTTGCCTAAAACAATCCATGGAAAAGATCAAATGGTGCTAACGAATATTCTTTTTAATGCATGGCCAGTATTGTTTTGCAGCATCTCGGATTTTTCCATTATCATTTTTGGTATAAAGATTTCCGTTCAGCTGTAGAGCATCACAAACTACGTACTTCATGTCGAGTTTGTGCATAATGTTGACTATAGTGATGAAGACTATCCACTTTCACGCACGCAACAAAGTTTTTAAGTACAGATAGATAGTAAATTGACAACGCTTAGCCCAGCCTATTATTGAGCAGTACCACGCATGTGTATATGTAGGTTCGACATTTCTAGTGGGCCGAGGGTTTACAGTTCAGTGCTTTTCATAACATTAAGTAATGGTGTTGTACAGGTGAACCCAGACGCAGAGTATTCTGGTTGGAAGAAACTATCGGGCACTCCAGAGCTCAACTTTCTGAGTCAGATAGTCATACTTCTGTATGAGGATGAGTCGCAGCCAAAGGACTCTGACTCCCGCTACTACATCCACCTCCACATCGGCTCTGGAGTCAAGGCCAGGAAACAGACACTCAGCGAGGGAGTCCCTTTCATTGACGACGATATGAACTCCCCGCCTTCCTTTGTGAAGAGGCTCCCGACCCTCCCGACTAACAGAGGGTCAGACTCTGTGGTAGTGTCCTCGGCCACTCCACCCCCGTCCTCCAGGGTTGTCAGGAAGATTGCCTCCTACCCCACCCTGCACTATGTGGCCACTCAGCCCATAGCTGTCGTGGCTACTCCGCCACACCATCGGAAGAGTTCCATCCCGTTCAGTGGTAGCGGGATGTCGAGGGACGACAGTGTGTTGTTGAAAATCCCACCCGACAGTCCCGGGAGGAAGCTCATCATCGGCTATACCAATGAATCACTTCAGACCCTCGGAGAACCTGGTCAGCTCAGCATCTAACATTGTCACCATGCTGCCTCTAACATTGACACAAGAGGCCTGCTACACTATTATGTCGATTTTTTACACGGTAGATCCCATTTCATAAGCTGGTAGGAAAGAGAATCTCGTAGAGTTCTCTCAAAGTGTGAAGCTTGGAGGACTTGCACGCTACTATCCCTGTGAAATAACAACGCTCATGATGCACACTTTAGATTGGTGCAGCAGACCTGTGGGTACACATCATATGTACATGAGTCACGTCATAATGATCATGTATGTTCACTGACATGCTCCCTGCTGGCAGGTCTGGTGATGGCTGCCGAGCTATCCTCCACAGTGGAGCCACTCACCCACGTTGCCACCCTCCCTGGACACAAGTTCATGGACTTTTTGGGACAGTTGAAGGGACTTGGAAAGTTCACCAAGTCCACACCAGAGCCTCCCAATTATCAACCTCACACATAGAGTTGTCAAGAGCTATAATAACATTGTGTCATATTTCACATGTGCATCCTCATTTTTAATGCATCCCAATTGTTTTGATATGTGGCCAACTCACTGCTAGCGCTTAGAATTTAATATAGAGGTTATAATACAAGGCGATATACATCAATTTGTGCTTATTTAAGAAGATCCCCATGGCGTCCAAAGGGAGTGCAAACCCTCTGCACAAAAGTAGTCTCAGTCTCTCCAATGCAAGGTAAGCACTAAGCAGTGTTTGTGTTTACAAATATTGTCCACTTATAATATCAAACACAAGGTCGAAAACTACCTTGCAACTACAGCAAAATTAATGTGCATAAGGAAAGAAGCAACTGTGCATGTGGCTGCATAATGTCAGTAGATACTCTCATATATAGTCATAATCACCCTCCTCAGTCTGTGGCTGAGGAACCTCATAGTATTCCTTAGTCTCTTTTGGTGTCTTGTCACTCTTGTGGGAATAACTCCCATCATATACTGGGTTCTGCTCTGTGATTATGTTTATCTCTGATCCCTTGGTTTCTGGTCTGCAGTTAAACAGTGCGTGAGCTGTGTGAATGCAACACTAGCTATACCTGTGTCTTCTGGCAATAACAGATCCACCAATTAGTCCAGAGATGCCCAGTGCTAGGCCGATAAGGCCCATCACCACTCCAACAATTACACCAGTTGAGGCGGATGAGTGCTTGCTGTCAGTTTCAGTACTGCAACTAACTGTATATAGGATAGATGAAAGCAACTAAAAATAACGAGAGCTACAGTTGGTGTGACATTTACACTGGTGTGATAATATTGTCACAGGGTCAGAGTAGAGTCCAATGTCTCCATTCTCGTTAACGGCGGCCACTGATATAGAGTGGTTGGTAAAGGGAGTCAGTCCACTCAGTAAGATCTCCCCTCCACTAGACCAGTCTTCTCCATCTCCCAGCTCTTGGACTCTGGTCTCAGCTGTGCAACAAGTTACCAACCAAACCCTGTACTCAATAATCCGACCATTGACCAGTCTACAGTTAGAGAGGCCACTCCACTGGACAGAGATGAGAGTGGAGCTCTCAGCCTCTGCTCTCACATCCCCTGGAGCCTCTCCTGCACCTGTGTATACATCCACATACACACATGAACAAAATACACCATGTGATGCCAGGAGAAAAAAGATGCAGAGCTCTGGACATGCTCAGCACCCAATCTCCAGTCAGTCTCACCTGTCTGTGGAGTCACAACACTCTTGCTTACACTGGATGGACTGGCACCTGTAATGTTACTGACTGCCTCCACAGTCACCTCATATGCAGTGTAGGCTCTCAACATGTCAGTCGCTGTCAACTCTACATCTCTTCCTACAGCAACACCGACAGTAGTGTAGGGAGCATTGAGTGTCAGACTGGGGGTGTGAGAGTCGGTAGGACATAATTCCTGCCGGTCAGTTTGGGAGAATGTGACAATGTAGCTGTCAGCGTCATCCACTGCCTGCCAGGACACTCTGACGGAGGCTGATTCTGCAGCAGCTACCACACCTTCAGGAGTACTAGGACCTAGAGTGGAGAGATAGAGAGAAGGGGAGAAAAATGGTTATAGTGAACTAGTTGCAACCACTCACCCATTGTAATAGTCATCTCCTCAGATATTCCAGGTAACTTGTTGCTGATGATAACCTCTACTGAGAAAGTGTAGGTCTTTCCATTAGTGAGACCAGTGATGTCTCTACTTGTGGAGTTTATGACATCAGTCAGAGTCTGACTTTCACCAGGAAGTGAGTAGAGAACTCTATATCCGGTCACTGAGGCCTCTGGTGAAGTGGTCCACATCACTCTGACGGTGGTAGGATCAGTTTGCTGCAGTGATTTTAGGGTTGGAGCTGCTGCAGCTGTTGAGATAAACTGGAAATCAATAGGAAACATACTTATTGCCTATACCTTCCACAGTTACATGTTTGGTTTTTGATTCAACACTAGTTACATTACATTGGTACACATCTCCATCTCTGCCATTGAGTATGATTTCAGTTGTGGCAGTGTAACTGTCATTACCAATGAACTCCCTACTACTATCTGCCTGTATGTTGCTGGTAAGATCAGAGCTGTATCCATTAGGTCCAGTGACAGCCATGTTCAGAGCTCTGCCACCAGTGGAGGTACACCTCACTCTGAATGTTGATGTTCCTTCCTCCACCTCAATAGCTGCAGTTACTGCAGTGACTGGAGGAGAGGAGTAATGCAGAACCTATCTCACTACATCAAGAGAGATGTCCGTATATACTTACTGGGGTAGAGGATGTACAGTCCTGATAGGGGATTGGTGTCCCCTGACATGTCACAGTTGTAATATCCTTCTTCTGCATTTCGGGTCCTTCTAGTCAGATAGAGAACTCTACGCCCATTTTCAGTTCGTCTGCTTGCTATCCATCCTCGTTCAGGTTCACCACTGTTACTTATTCGATGTGGTGATAGTAGATAAAAACAGGTGATTGGACTATCTCCATCACCAACAAGACACCCATTGGTAGTGTCTTTGACATCAGCTGTTGTCAGTTGAGACTGGCACCTGAGAGCACTGCTGAAATCATCATCTCCATCTACGACGTCAAAGTCATTGACACTGATCCGCGACTTGTTGTTATTTGCAATGGACTGCCCATTGAGGGAGATGATCAGACCTACAGAGATGGCAGAGCATTCTTAGCTAGTAGCTCAGTTGTGTTGCAGACAGACAGTACTTACCTTGCACTCCCAGTGTCCTCCAGTAACAAAGCTCCAGTAGAACAACTATCCAGACACTAGTCGGCTGCATTATTGCTACTACTACCTAGAGGGCAGGGCCTAGGGAGACGTACGTAGGCAATGGCGCATGCGCAAACGGGGTGCGCAACGGTCCATCCATGATCGATCCTGCGTCGTGCGTCCGTCCGCCGTCGTAGAGAGACGTAGACACGATCTCACGTGATCTGCGTAGCAGGCCCTTAGCTCCGTCATACAGCACACAGGCAGTTATTCACCTATAGACTTGCTTATGGCCTTGGGCCTTTCCATTTGAAGTCGGGGAACTTTGAGTAAAGACGCCTACAAATATGTTCCCGAAAGATTTGTACAGAACACCTCTGAGCACACGGAGACCGCGGAGGCCAATTTTTGTCAACGTTTTCTCCATCTTGAGACTGTGTCAATACAACTGTTTGCATCAGGAAATAGTTGCTGCACATCATAGTCCTTTGGGGATTAGGGTTGTAGCTCGATGTGTAGTAAAACTCATGCATTGCATGGTTCTCTGCATATTGCAGTAATGCCAATTGAAAAACTGCACTGAATACAAGTGGTGCTGAACTTGAGACCCACAGTACCACATTACGTTGTACTGTTTTGTTCAAACAAAGAACTTACTAAAACACAACAAATAATTGCCAGAATGGTAACTCAGTTCAATGTGATTGTCATTTCTGTGGTGTGATTCCGTCATCCTGTGATAGTGAGCTGGTGGTGGTGGTGGTGGCAGTCTGTAGATCAGCTCGGAGTGTATCATCCTGTGTCTGTTCCTGGCCAGCAATCTGTACATCTTCCTGAGTTGGGCTAGGTGGTGACAGGGACTGGAGTATGCCAGTAGTGGTAGGGATATAGGGTTGGTCGTGAGGCACAGGTTGGTTCGTGTCTTCAACTGTATGTTCTACAGGGTCGTCCTGTGATTCACTGCTACTGTCTTGGGACGGTGGGACGGTGTCCCCCATTGGAGCTCCACTGTCCTGGGCTGAAACCAGGCCGCCCCGAGTTGCGCAAACAATATCTCTAGAAGTGGGCAAGTTGCTAATATTGTCATGGATAGTAGAGAGACCTGCCAAAGGTTCACAAGAAGGTGGGGAGCTGCCTCTGTCCTGGACACCTTTCTCCTGCGGCAAGTAAAGTGGTGGAGGAAGCTCGCCTTCAGTAGCACTACTGTGGTGTGTAGTGGGCTCGACATCAGTCAAAATATGTTGGACATCATCGTCTTGGAGGAACACATCGGCATGATATTTCTGTGGACTACTGGGGTAGTCTGAGACAGGGTTCCCATGGCGTGGACTACTGCCATAGACCAAGTCATAGCCCCGAGATGACTCAGTCGGTACGTCGTTGTCATCATCTGAAAGCGATAGAGGGCTAATCCTGCGAGGGTCATACCCCAGTAAAGGTGAGCCTGGAACCATGTCTTCATCCGCAGCGATCTCCCTCAGTTCTACAGGCAGTGTTGCCGAGACTGTTCTCTTCCTTTTCCTGAATTCTACACAACAGAAACGACCCAGTGTCAGTCAGTGTTATATGTGGACATAACAAGTAGCTACCTTTTGTGTGTTTCACTCCTGGGCCGTCTGTTACCTGAACACGTAGAAAGTGGGCAGATACCTCTTACAATAATAGCAGTGCAACCTAACACGAGTAGATCAATGTTTTGCACACGTATTTAGAATCTCGTAAAACAGTGCACCATTTGCAGTGCCCGTTACATAGCAAAATCCCACACTGAGACGATTAGATGGCTCGTTTTCCCGCTAGTTATGCTGCATGCAGGACACAACACACACACACACCTAAAAATGAGAGGGTCTCACCTCCATCAGGGCATTGGAAAGCCTGCGAGTAACTTTCTTCTTCTTGCTGGGCAGAGCCTCGCCTCGGTCCAGAGAACCGCGGCGGTCCAGGAAGTCTTCGTTGTCCTCCTGGTCGGCCTGGCCCGACAGGTCCACGGGGTACAGAGACAGGTCCCGCACGGCTCGGAACTGACCCACGTTGGTCACATGCTCGTTCTCCACTCGGAAAAAGTTCCACACAAATCTCCTGGTGGGAATAAGACGACAACTTTGGCCAGTGTACATGCACTTAACGTTGTGCAGTCCATCACTAATACTAACACTACAACTACTATTTTACTCTAGGCCATTGTACTGGCAGCGAGTGTACAAGTGGGAAACTATGCAGGCATAATTGATAATCAAGCAAAAAGCACTGCCTATTCCACCAGTTATATGCACATCCATGATAGAAACATTGTATTATAATATGAAGATTTGCACAGGGCAGTGTCATTATACGTGTCTATGGTATATAAGGCTAGAAATGGACTTAATCAAGAGTGAGTAAATAAAATGAATGTGTCAATACATTATTCTCAACCAAGATACAGCCACATTATCTAATAAACTTGGTTGAGGTTTCTGTGTTCCAATAGGTGACCAACCTCACTATCTCCAGAACTCCTGCCACAGTGGCAATGATGTCGTTGCTGACTAGCCTCAAAACGTGGTTGCCTACAGAGAGATTGAATATCCACAGGATGCGGAACAGAAAGTCCTCCACAAGAGCCAGCACATAGTAGAACTGCAGTATACAGAGAAAACATGAGGAGTGAGTATAGAACAAAGCCTACCTTGTATGTGTATATTCTCTCCTCACGCATAGTGAGGGCCTTTTTGCGGCAGCAGCGCCGGGGAATATTGGGGAAGAGACTCCAGTCCATGAGAATGTCCCAGGAGAAGGTGTAGGAGGTAGAGACCACGGCTGACAGCACCCAGAGACAGAAGATGGCCAGATATAGAAGACTCTGCTCCAGGAATGGCAGAGAGCCATCTGGGGTGTGCAGGGGGCAAGAGAGACACTGGTGCAACACATGGAAAAATGAGAGAGTAGAGATACCAAAGAGCAAGAAGAGACGAGGCAGATGTAAAATTGAGTGTGAAAGGATGGTTTGTAAGATGAGATTTTAAAATGTCAATGACAGATGATCAATGGGAAAAAGGAAGAAGACTACATTAACACAGCACAGCACCAAACACGTTTAAACCGCTCCCCACCTATGACAGTACTGGCCACAGCAGAGAACACGACGACAAAAAAAGAGGTAGAGTATTTGCCGGCGTTGATGAGGTGGGGGTTGGCCTCCTTGGTGTCGTAGTACCTCCTCATGCACTGGGCAAACCTCCACCAGGCCGCAGCAACTGTCCACCTCTAGTACGAAAAAGCCACTGTGAATCACACCCTCTTCACGACCAGACGTCCTCCGTTGCCCTCCACCAGGGATGCTAATGTGGTAGCACCTCCTGGGGGGGAGACAAGGGAGTGCTACAAATACTAGCGGTTGTTTCTGGGTTGCTAAGAGATATTAACACCCATCACACAATGTGATTGTCCATGCACACACAAAAGTCGCGTAGTTGAGGACGTATGACTTAAGAATGTGCTGACAAACTGTTAGCTTGAATACTGCTTGTGCTTTTCGTGGTGAGAGAGACTGGCTTTATTTGGAGAGAGCACAACAGAGAATTGATAAAACCTCGCTGAGTGACCAACACGTTCGGACACGTTGGAATCGGTTAATCAAGAGCCTGAAGAAGTATGACTCCACACTACTCACGACTGTATAGTTAGTAATACAAATTTCTTAACTAATTTAATACAGCAGCCATAGTCGAATAACAGGGTGGTGTGCTTTCTGGGCTAACTGGAGCGATCTTGGCCATAGAAGAGGAAGCAGAAGAGAGTACTAACTCTCCCTGTGTCCGACATGGCCGACTGAGAGTCCTGGTTGCAGGTCCAGTCTGGGTCGGCAACAATATCTCAGGAAGTTCGGCACAAAAAATGTTCTAACACGGGAATAAAAAGGAGCCAAGATTCAAATGCGACCGTATGGGCCTCGGGTGGATACGTACGTATGAACTCTTAAGCTTACTTTCGCAGTAAACGAGTCAGTCCTCACCGCTGTGTAAACAGCTATAATCCTTCGTGAAACAAGAAAATCGATGGTTATCTTTAATCAAGATGTTCTTATGTGCCACAGTAGTGGACATTTAATTAATGCTCTCGAGTGATAGTGCACGCGATCGCGTACCAACATGGCAACGTTTACAAGAGATTGAATTTTATGGCATTGCTTTAAGAACGATTGACTTGAAGCGTACAATTTGTGGGTCGAAGTCTTAAGCAGACCAACAGCAAATGCATGTCGGTCACATGCTATGACTAGCCATCAGTAACAGTCGTAGCATAGAACTTAACCTACAATTTAAGCTCAGAGTTGCTTCTGATTGAGCACTCACCAGTAGGCCTTTTGAGGTAGCCAGATTCTGGAGCGAGAGTCTTGAGCGATGTACAGGGCGTGAGGCATTGATCAACTGAGAGGAGGATAGAGCAGCCGACATTAGCCGTACATCCACCAAGGTGGACCCCAGCATTGACCCGGGATGATGTGCACCAAGGGAGGCCATCAACGGCTATCCAGGCTCACAGACCAGTTTATCCATATAACATGGAGATCATACCAGCCACTGGATGGTGTTGCAACTAACAAGGTGAGCTTGAAAGGCATAAGGCAAAGGCAACAAGTCAATAAGAGCCTTGTGCGAATAAGTCTAAAATTGTAGCATTGGCAAAGCCTGTGGGGATGTAATCTCTTACGTTAACCCAGCAAGTTGCTGGGCGCTCAGCTGGTAGCTTTATAAACTCGTGATGCGTCTGCATGCGATGAGGGCCAACAAACTGTCCATGAGCTCATGCATGCTATTACTCGATCTACGTATGCTAAGATGATGTTGTCTGCCATGTGTAATCACATAACATGCAAGCACAAAGTGGTATGTGTGCCACTCGCCTCCTGTATTCACAGATACTGCAAAGAGCTCTTATCGTAAATATGAGGTAGTGTTCCTGGGACTTAAAGACACTCGTATCCTGAATAATGAGGAGTTGTTCACATAGGGCCTGCCCTCCACTCCCAGCCGAACACCGTGTCCATTTGGGTTTCGACGTTTGGGTCAACATTTCAGAGAGAAGAATGCAAATATTGACTCGTTGCGTTCATGAGGCATCGTTCCGCGTGAAAGAAAAAGGACAGTTGTTCCATGTGATGTGCTGTGAAGTAGATAGTTGTAAGATATCTAATAGAAGCTATCCAGAAGAAGTTTATCTCGAGTTAATGAGATCGATTTGCTCACGCGATTGTAAGTTCTGTTGCTTCCACCTTGCATCAACGCTGATTTATTGACAGAACACCGTTTACTCAGAGGATCGTGTGTCTGGTTCTGCATGAATGCCTGCACCAAGTACGAATAAGGCCCAGGATGGGCGTTCCAAGCCATGGGTCGGGGTGTCCCATGCTTAATAGGGCATGTAAACGTTATGATGAATTGGTTCGGCATAGCATGAATTCTCTGTCGATATTGCCAAGCAAAGAAGTCAGAGGTGAGGGCTCGGTGTCCCGACAGGAAAATTGAAGGAAATACACACACGCGCGATCGAGTCAAGCACTACAGAGTATCCTATTCCACACTATTTTGGCTGCAGTTGTTCGTTGTAACACAAATGGCAGTGCGTTTCAATAAGAGTCTGATACACACCGAGCGACTTCTGGACGCGTGCTTGCATATGGTTCGGAGTGTATATGAATAAAAGTTCGACCTTGGAGAACGCAGGCGCTAGCTCTCCTCGCGGACTATACAAGTGCAGGCCATGTATCGGGTTCGCACGCGCTCGGCTCTCACTCGCGAGCTGGAGAGAGAGTGGGGCGGGATTCCGGGCGGGGAGAGACAGGTGGGTCCGGAGTACTCTCCCTTGGCTGGCGTAAAACGAGAGTCGCTCCAAAAATAGGCAGAGTTACGAAAAAACAGTGGCAATCTCAAAAACAAAGAGTTTGATTTCACGATCGCTAAGTGTCCATTAAAGAAAAGATACCCAAATTCCTAGGTAACACCACCAACCACCTGTCCCTGACTAACTACTCTCTTGACAAAACTCATTTTCCCGATAAGGTCGGAGTTGCTTAACAGAGACACTATTGTTACTACTTTCACATCCTGCATCCACAACACACATAGCCCAGCTCCCCATAAGGCAACATAGTGTTTGGTAAAATTGCTGCTTTCAAACATTTATAGTGTTGTTGGGTTGCACATCCTTTAAAAAACAGTGGACAGACGCACCACCCGGCCAAATGCTATGTTGGTTTGATTTCTGTGGGAAGAATATATGTTACTTGATGTGTATCTTGTTTACACTTGGCAAAAGTTATCAGAGAAGAGGCAGTCAGATACTGGTGTAGGTTTGAATCTCTTGTGTAATCATCAGGAATATTAGGGGGGGCCATTGAGAAGAGGTGTTTGCCAGGGATACGCAATAGGCCAAACTCTTATGTACACACCACCA